TACATGTGCATAAACGTCAGAGCAGCACCAAAAAATTCACAGTCAGACCCACAGCGAAGTGCAGCAAAGGACTAAAATAAAAAGACAAGCCATGCCAACACACTGTTTAGATTAAAAGACATGTTCACCAGATTTTTAACCATTTTAGCAGTGGGAATATAAGCAACTTGACAATAGAATGACACGTGCACTTATGTTTAAAAAATACAGGATTAATCACTCCAGGATTTCTAATTTTAGGCACTGGTAAAAAAACCCCAACAAACCACTAAATCTTAAAATCAAGTAATATTTAGCATGTGGGATTAAAATTACTATTCATTTATACCAGAATGAAATAGCTTTCTAGATGTTCTATTATGTGAGGATTTTTTCCCCTCCAGAGCATCCCATACAAAGTCTGTTAATAAACTTGCAGGGGTGGTGGGAGGGGGGGAATAGAAATCTATCTACAAGTTTTCCCTGCATTTTGAAAACAGGACTGTGAGCTAAGTTTTCCTGTAGTTATTTTCCCTTTTTTTCTGTGGCGTAAATACCGCGGAATATGAATTTTTAGAGCGACGCAAATTGTTGTATGCAGTGTACATAAAACAAACATCAGAAAAGCCCTTTCTGAGGCTGAGATTAGATATTTAACAGTAGCATTGCTTCTAAGATCTTATGCAGTCACTGCTACCCTTAAACCCTTTATTTCCCCCTGGCATCAACGCTGGCACAAGTATCGTTCAACGCAAGGCACATTTTACAGAATATGGGCACAGATACAGATTAAAAGACAAAATAACCCAGAGGGAAGACAAGAGTGTTCCCTAATCAGCTTCACCATTCACCTTCAATGATGTCTTTAATAAGCAGCTCAAGGAAGCAGGCGGCGCAGGGCGCAGACGCGTAGTGAGGGGACAACTGCTCAAGTCAGCTGCCGTTACCGCCAAAAGAAATTACTTGTAACACTTATCTAAATTAGTTCTATATTAGTTTAGAATAGCTGCAAGGGTTTTGTTGTTGGGCTTTGGGTTTTGCATGTATGAGAGCTTTGCCATCACAGGCTCTGGATAAATGCAGAAAATTTTAAGAGCGAAGTTTATTTTGACCTGAAATTTCAAGTCTATCGTCACATATTTTTGTAGCACCAACTAGAGAAGCCAACTTGCCTATTTTTGAAAACCTAACTTATGTGAACACTATTTGAGACAAAAATCTTCATTTTGTTAATCAGCATGTATCCTAACCTGCACACAGAACTAGAGCTGCCTCTTTAAAAATATTTATTACCAGTCTCTATAGGTAGACTGAAAATTACCAAAGTCTGCATTCCTTCCCAAATTACAATGTATCACAAAAGTTATTAAAATCAGCAAAGAATAATCATTGCTAAATGTCCTTAGGTGAAATATTAAACAGTGAAAAAAGTAATTTCAATTATCCTATAAGCATGTGTACGTTTGGCAGCTATTTTCAGCAGCAGACCTCCTTCTTTCTTCTTAACCCAAAGAAAAGATTAATAAAACTGCCCATAATGAGTTAATGATTCAATCTATTCTCTTCCAGATTCAAGCCTGGAAGGCCTTTTGCTGCTTAGAATCTCTCAACTACAACCCCAGCAGGTATTTTGGGCCTAGCTTTCCATTAATTGCTTACTCTTGTAAATCAAATTATATATTTTGTGATTCTTCCTCTCAATTTACTTCCAGATTTACAAAACCATTAATTGACAAGCAAATGTAAGTGCAAATTAAGATTGTTCTCCAATTGGTATCTTTTATCATTTTAACTTCTTCCACAAGCTTAAGAAAGCAAGCTAATATAAACCACGCATTGAATGTTTCTGCCAGCAAAAATAAAAAGCTTTTGTCATGCTAAGTTTTGACTGATGATCCCCTAGACTTCTGCAAGTTATAAATTATTTAGTTTGCTTAAATAAATACAAATCAGAAGTTGTTCTATAAACCATAAGTAACTCAGAGTGTATCTAGGAGTGGTGAGAGGGAACGGAAAATTCAATACCCAGCCTTAACAGTAAAGTTATTTTTAAAGCACGTAGAAAACATACACAGTATGACAGTATGGTATTTTTCTCTTGTCCTGACATCTCGAAAAGGAGTTACACGCTTCCAAAATGTCTGCAAGCGGGAATGGGCAACACTGCACTGGTTCTGTCCTACCACCACCTGGTGTCCTGCTGTCCACACTGCACTGCGGCCTCACCGCCCAACGCTAACCCCGTCTCCAGCCCCGCCGCAAGGGACAAATGCTTCAAACTGGGCTTAAAGCAAAAGAAGTGGAGGAAATGCATTGCAATAGTATTGTGCGCTTATTGCAGAAATAAAACTTCAGGCACGAGGTAAAATTTGGACTTTTTATTGCCAATAAAATGAAGAATCCTTCTCTACAAAAATAAAATCTAGTAGGGTTAAAAACTCTTGAAATGGTGTTATGTGGATATATTTTGTATTTCACACTAGTAGTATATCTCCAGACATCACAGAAGAGCTGAAAATGTTATCTGAAAAATGTTATCACTTCATAGCTTTCAAAAGTTCACACGGCATACAACAGTTACAGGGAAAAGGTGCTAAGGTATTAAAAATAGTGCACACCTTTCCAGGCTCCTAGAATTTGTTCCTATATATCCCCATATTCCTTTCATGGGAGGAATAAATATGAATTTAGAAGTCATATGCTAATGGTCAGATGACTGAAATACAAAATAACTTACTTTAAATTAAACTGAAAATAAAGGAAAGCTTCAAAACATCTTTTCAGAAAAAGGTATAAAGTCACATCACTCTTCAAATAAAGCAAACGTGAGAAACATTCTGGAATGTAAATCATAATTCTTTCCGTTTTATGGAAACAACTGGTGAAATAATACAAAGATCTGACGATGAACAAAGCGTCAGTAAAATCATTATAAAATACTCTGTATTACAGATATATATACACACATACAAAATCTCAAAAGAATTCTTACATGGTATTTTTAACTATGCAAGGCTAACCAGATATTTCTAAGTAATAATAAGAGCAGTTATTTTTCGAGATCAAAGGTATTTTGTTATTCTAACCAGGCAGCCAGTAAGCCAACCATTTCTTCTCCACAGTCATCTTAATGATGATTTCTCACATAGCTGAGAAGTTCACATTCCATGTAAATAATTTTCCTCACACAAGCAAAAAAAAATAAATAATCTTGACCTAGATTTTTTAAAATTTTGCTTCCATTGGTCTCTCTTCAGTTAGCTGGGGAGCAGTTGCTTTCAGCAAAGCTGTTGTCACCTGTTATCACTTTTTCTTACAACAAGGATCACACTTTCATGTGCAAATAGACCAATTAATCTCAAATTTATTGTACTAAGGTAAAGAAAAGGTCTGCAATTAATAGTGCATTGCTCTTCAGCTTTTGTGCAGTTAGTATGGTGTTTATTAATTTGTGTACTTGTGAAACCATGCAAAGCTGTTACCATCTACCCAAGAAATGGTGGGTTTAGAGTGTAAAAAGCTCACATTTGTATTTATTTTTTACCACTTAATAAGAGATATGGATTAACCAGTATTCCAGTAAATGGCAGCACGGGTACTGCAAAGGAAAGTAAGTTTATATTAAAAATAGTATTTTCATTAACAAGTGTTGTTATACTTATTTTTAATGTTCTTATAAGTGACATTTTTGCAGAGATATTACTAAAAGCCTTTTTCAGTTTGTCTTACTTCGGATCATGTATCTTCAGTACTACAAGTAAGACCACAGTTAAAGAAAAAATTATCACAATCGCTCTGAACAAGAAAGCTAAGAATATGCATTGATTCATCATTAGCATCTGAAGCATATGCTATAATTAATGCTAAAAAAGTCCTGTTTAAAAAAAAAAAAGCCAAAATTTATATTAAACAATGCTGTATTTTGGATGGATGCGCAAATATAGAAAACCCACATGAAATCAACAGTTGCCAGTCCCTTCCTATTATGGTACTAAAAAAAAAAAAAAGTACAGAGTTTGAGTGGGATAACTAGTATTATTTAACCAAAATGTACAACACATTTATAAGAATATTTTAAAAAAATAAGTCTTTAAGTGTATGCAAGAGAGCTGTAGAATCCTGAAAGCATTCAAAATAAACAGAAGAAACTGGGTGACCTCAAAGGCTGAGGTAACAGGAAATGAGATTAAATACAACACTATATAAAACGTTAAAATTCTAGACTAAGAAAGCATTTGTACTTTAAATGAGGGACTCCGGTTGAAAATGGTAGTAGAGACTACCTGTGCAATGCCCAATACGCCACAGTATGATGCGATCATGAAAAAATAAATAGGACAAAGGGATGTTTTGCTGTAGCATTTCCAGCCGAAACAGCAAGGTTTTAACGCTGTCCCTACACTTCCAGTCACTTATATTTAAGAAAGCTGATTTAAGCAGCAAAGATACAGAGAACGGCTAGTATGATGAAAGGACAACTTAAATGATAGGAGAATGAAAACACTCTTCTGTCAGCAAAGGTGAAATATGTTTGGTTTGTTCAGTATAACAAAACAGAAACAGAGGCCTATATGATTGCTCTCCAGGTAGTGCCTCGATATGGACAGAAATGGCAGAAAAGTCACTGAAGCTAAATGACAGCGTTGGTGCACAGCAATTCAGTGGACTCAGGAAGATTTCTAATCCTGTGAGCAATGCAGACATAACTTCTAGAAGTTACTAGTAAATGCAAATAAGCTGATATAGTAAGAAATTGAGTCTGATCAAGTGAAGAAGCAGGACCTGATTTAGCTAGAAATTGAGTCTGATCAAGTGAAGAAGCAGGACATATGACGTGGTGTCTGTGGTAGCAGTGGACTGGAACCATGAAGGAAGTGCCTTTGGGTTTATGTACCTAATATTAGAGCTGTGAAAGAGGGTGTAAAATATGCAAACTTGTAAGTATTGAAGATCCACACATAACTTCATGACATAAAATTGATCCCTGACCTCCATGCTCATCCTGTATGAGAGAAATAGGCAGAACTGTTAAAAATCAATTAGCTTTCAGCTAAAATTAAGGAAGCCTGGCTTAGATTGCCTAATACTTCTACAAAACTAGTTAGCAACATTGCCCTCACATTGGATTTGCAATTAAGGTTGTGCAAAAGTCTGTGCTGAGTCATACAGCTACTTAAATGTTGGTATTTTTTTTAAAGCTTTTTGTAAAGCAGCAGGCAGAAGACCTGCTAGATGTCTGCAGCCGTAACATAGGTGTAAGCTGGAAAGACTAATGAAAAAGATGATTTTCAGAATGTTACAGACTAACAATTTGACTGACAACACAAGGAAGATGAACCTGACTAAGGTTAGATAAACTATTGGTAAAGGCATACAGTGGCTGGCTTACGCAGCTACTGTACGCTGTAGAAGTAGTCTGTGCTTTTCATTCTATTAGGATTAACTAAAACTGTAGCAGAGGTGGCAGAAAGCAAGAGGAATCCACAAATGAGCTGGTTTAGTCTAGAATAACACTGTCTTAGCCAATATCCACTATCAGTTCAGGCTCAGCTGATATCAGCTGATACGCAGGCACATTGCTTACACTGCTGTTGCAGGACCCTTCAACTTCAGAACTCACAGCAAATACTAACGGAGTAGTAGTAACTTAAAAATCATGACAGCTATCTGCTTTGTGAACATGAATAAACCCAAAGACAAATCTTGCTCCAGCATGTTTAAGAACTTTTTGAAAAGTTATCAAACTGGGAAATCTGACTTCACATTATAATGATATACGGAGAAACAAAAAAATCCCCATATACATGTACTCCAACACTTCTACCTATAACATTTTTACGATTAATCAAACTAATTTTTAGACACCATATCCACTAAAAACCATGGGCAAGAGTGGTGTGCATTATGTAAATTGCTCTAAACTTACCTTCTTTCCCCAACACAAAGTTCAGACTTGATGGCTTCCACTCCACTGTGGCATCTCAGCAAACACCATGGAACCTTGCTACCAAGGAACTTCACTGGCAAATGAAGACAGCTTACAGAGGGCTAAAGGGAGGTGTTTTTGTTTAAATATACAGATAAAACTCTTTTCCAAATCCTGTTGTACGTCTCAAAGGATATAAAACATGAAACTTTAAAAACTTCTGCCTCCTCCTAACATACGGATCCCACCAGCTATCCACTGCCTACAGACTGTCTCCATGTTCTAGCAGGGTCCCATGGTATCTACTGGGGCCTCTCAGCACAGCTGGGACAAGGATGGGATTACATTTGGGGACAGAAGGTAAGCTTAAATTTAATTAAAGTTTCAATGCTCTTCCTACTCTTGCTTATTAGGGAACTTCGTGCAAAATATACTACTAAGTTTTCATATAATTTTAAATCAAATAAATAGCTATTAAAATGAACTTTTCTAACAAAAAAGCACATTTGACAAGTAAGCTTGTACGTTAAAAACTTTGTTGTAAAGGATATACTCTATTACTACTAATCTCAGAAGAGCAGATAAATTCTAGAGGACTATTTTTTTCCTACAGAAACAAAATTATCTCAGACTGTTTCAAAATTAACATGTGTCACCAGTGTCCTATGAAGTGGAGAGTCTCTGCTGCTTTTTCTTTTAAACAATCTGTTTGGGCGCTGGAAGGGGGGGGAGATAACAAGTTGTAGCAGTTTGTAATGACGTGTAAGTGCATCTGCAATGATGCTTCTAGAGTGACTTTTCCACACTGATCAATGTTCTATGCATTTGTCATTTTGCTCCCCTGTCATTTTGAGTCTGTTAAGTTATTCCGTAACCCGGGCATGTATTTAATAGAAACTTCTAAAACTGATTAAATACTTTACAATATTATTGAAAAAACCAGCATCAATCACAGACTGTAAAAGTTTGGCATGTTTGAGGCAGAGAAGCCTAGTGACTTTAATGTAACAGTAGTTCCCATTCAACCTCTCACTCAGACTTACACTGTGAATCTGGCATTTTCCAGTCTGATGAAGCAGTTAATTTTACTATTACCATGAGAAGGCAATAACTGTCTGCATTTTGTGACAATATCATATTATTTTGTTGTATATAAATAAAGATTTCTTTTGCATAATACTTGACATGGAAACACACAAGAACTCAACGCTTCATTTCTTTCCAAGCAGCTTTGGTGTTGTGTTCATTCACTCATCTGGGAGTTTGCAGGAACCACCTAGAAGAATGTCTAACATATCTGAAACTTGAATACGTACTCAGAATGAAATACGGACGCAAATATTCCCCTTCCTGGAGAAAAAGGCAGATTTCTGAATAAGTCCGTATGAGAGCTATGCTATGTAATGACAAGGAAACGATGTTCATTATAATCCACTGAAAGCTGACAGCACAGTAAGCAGTGTACCGACAGATACAAGACACAAGCTCCTTAACCTTCTTAAGGAAATGGGATTCATGGTTAGTTTCCAAGTCTTGCAACTTTATGACAAAAAAACCTTGCCCTAGGTCGGACTGAAAGAACATCTAAGCCAGTACACTGTGTCTGATAATGGACAATCAGCAGCTGACTGGTCAAGCATGTAAAAGAGATGGTGGAGAGGAAGGAAAAAGTTAGAATCTTGTAATGCCAACAGGAAGGTCAAAGTTACAAGGAATACAAATGAGTCCCCAATGAAACTGATATAAAGAAACTTGGATTATGAAATCTCATGTGAAAAACGCATACCCTGGCAAAAATTGCTTTGCCTCTTAATAGAAAACAAACCTCTTTAAAAAAAGAGAGCCAAGGCATTCAATTTAAATTTCCCCGTACATGACAAAGACTGAGGGTGGAACAGTAGTTCTTATGCACAGCATCTGAACCATGTAAAAGCAGACATCTGATGCCAACACACTCTGTTCTGTCCCTTTTAGTCTTTCACATATTAGTGAAAGCATTTCTTAATTTTTTTTTGAAAACAAAGCTAACTACCAGTTAAAGAAATGAAGTATGAAGTTATCGCAGTGCTAACAAAAGGGAGCATCAGCATAACTGCTGAAGCCTTAAAATGTACTGTAGCCTTCTTGACAACTAAAGTCTTCTCTAACAAGTCTATTATAAAAACACAATTTGCTTATTTCTAAAGTAAATACGTAAAAAAAGGAAAAGATGGAGGGGTTTTTTTTATTCTAAAAAGTAGATTTGCACAAATTATAGTAAAGTAACAGGTTTTGTTCCATAAATACATCCTCTGAACTCGAAGTTTATAGCCATCTAGGTCAAAGAACCACTAGCCACTACAGCTGCAAGAGTAAGCCTAATACGTAAATAAATTCTCTTCCCTTTCAAGCACTACCAAGAATGTCACTACTATTGTTAAGAAAAAGTACCTAATTCATTTCAACTAAATGTAAATTGCAAAATTGAATGGTAGCACAAACCTTCCTTATGGATAGTTCTACAAGAGCAAAATGGTTGTTTCACTCAGAGAAGAACTGGTGACGGTTAGCTTACATCTTCAGTGAGTAAATGATTTGTTAACCATCTGGCAATAGGCTTGGTATTTTCTCTACACCCCTCTAGCACTCACCAAAAGGGAAGAGGACAGTGTTGATGCACTGACAGGGAAGGAACTTTAATATCAACCCGCTTAGCACTTCACAGGTCATTCTGGTATTTTTCTTTTTCCACACTGACTGCAAGGTGAGGGAGTCTTCTTACACCTCCTCTCCTCCAAAGCTTTGTTTCTTCACTCTCTCTGCCAGACCCGACACAGCACATCGCCATATAGCTCTACGCACCATCAGCCTTTTTCTAAAGCATGTATTTTTGTCACCAGGTTGGAAGGGACCCCTAGAGGTCATCTAGTCCAACCCCCCTGCAGTGAGCAGGGACACTGCTAACCAGATCAGGTTGCTCAGAGCCCCGTCCAACCCGGCCTTGAATGCTTCCAGGGATGGGGCCTCCACCACCTCTCTGGGCAACCTGTTCCAGCGCCTCACCACCCTCATTGTAAAGAATTTCTTCCTTATATCCAGTCTAAACCTACCCTGGTTTAGTTTAAAACCATTACCCCTTGTCCTGTCACAGCTGGCCCTACTAAAAAGATTGTCCCCATCTTTCCTATAGGCCCCCTTTAGGTATTGAAAGGCCGCAATCAGGTCTGCCCGCAGCCTTCTCTTCTCCAGGCTGAACAAGCCCAACTCTCTCAGCCTGTCCTCATAGGAGAGGTGCTCCAGCCCTCAGATCATTAAATGCTTAAAATGCTTCTCCAAAGTATGAACAGAATTTCTATGTAAAATGAACCAGTTTTTATTTAGCAGAGTATTACTTTATTTTTCACCCATTCATGTAAATTGTTTTTAGTCCATTACAGAGTGTGTTTGTTCCCTTTTAAAGTTTTGAACATACTATATTACCTCATCTATGTAATAAGAACAACACGCTACATCTTGTAATGCACCTGGTTAAAGGAAGGACAACTGTGGAAAAATTACTGCTTGCAAGCGTAGTTTGAAGACAGACTTACCTTTGCCAGCATTTCTAGGAGGAAGAGGAGGAGCGTCTGCAGTTGGAGAGGTGGGTGAATCTGTGCTTGTAGAAGCAAAGATCTGATTGGTAAAAGCTCCATAGGAGAGTCTTTGCTTGTCTCTAGGAGTGCTAAATGAAGGATGAGTCATTTTGTCTTGGGGAGAAATGCTCGAAGAGTGACAAAAACTTTGGGGTCTTGGAGATCTTTCTTTTTTTATAGGACTAGGCTGTGAATAGAAAAACAAATATATTATACAGCTGTCTAAATACTAAATACAGTTAATATGTTTGGGAAAGAATATAACATACTCTAGTGAGCATAATTTCTTTCTTTATTGGACAAATAAGCCCACACTCCTCCCTTTCTCAACGATCCAACCTGAAAGATCCTCCCCTCTAACTGAAAAGTTAAAGATTGTTGCATCAAGCAATCATCACATACACAAAGTTAGATTTATTCTTAAAGCAGCAGACACACAATAATAATAATAATGATATACTAAATAATATAAAAGCCTAGTACAGTTTTTAGAATATAAGAGTAATTTTTAGTTCAAATAGCCCTTTACTGAGCCCAGAAAGTTATCCTCAAAGATCAAGTATATTACCCCATTGACGCGTATTAAAAATAAAATAACCGCTTCTGAGTCATCAGATTTATTTGGTGACTGAACTAGCAATATACCCAGTGGTATGTCTCTTTCAAACTTATATAATTGCTCTTTGAAGAAATTTTACACAGCAATTTTTGACTGCTGTATATTAATAGCTGCATATGGAACACGATCTGTTTCGCTTTCAGCTCTGGTTCAGGCAGGCTACAATCTCCAATAAGCATTTAGTCATCCTCCTGAGGCTCCTTGCACAGATAATCATTTTGTTCTCTACTGTCCTTGAGGATACGGAAATTATTTGTCTTTCTGAATTTTTCAGTCCCAAGTGTCACAGGAAATGAGAAGTTCACCACATTTCCTTCTACAGCACCCACATAAAATAGGAGAGGTGTATTCCTATTTATTACAGAAACAGAGCACAGCATAATTAACTGACTTGCTAAAGTAGGACACTGCGGCTAAGTTTTCACATGTTCTAGGATGGCAATTATCCTGTGCCCTCAAGTTTTATCTTTCCATTACTTCTTTTTTTGAACAGGAATAAAGTGCAAAGCACAGTTTTTGAAAAGTAGAGTTAATTGATTCAACAACTAGGTTTTTAATTAATTTATGGAAAAAATAAGTATGTGAGCGTTGGATTTCCTCCAGCTAAAAACGAACAGCCTAGAATTCAGTAGGGGATAAAATGACAAAGTAATCTACATTTACTGATTTAGATTATATTGTACACCTTGTGAAAGCAAAACTTCTGAAACTCAAGTCCGTAATAACTAGGTTGACAAAGTGTATTCAAAAAGCACTTTGGCAGTCTTTAATACGGGCCTCAAACACAGCTTTTTTCCCAAAAAAACAATCTATAAGAAAAAAAAGGTTAAAGTGGGCCTCTAATTCCCATTCATTTCCATGGAACAGAAGTTTTGACAGTTTTTGCGCACAGCCATATCAGTAGTTCATGCTTACCTTATCATCTAAGTCATCATCACTTTCATCAATTTCTTCCTGCCGAAGATTCCATTCATACTCTACATGGACATGTGGGTTTAGCTTTCCTGCCTTGGCTTGAGAAAGCTGAAAGAAATAACATTTCTTGTTAAAATATTTGCTGTTCCTTTGGTGTCAACAAAGTTAGTTTTGTAACAGCAAACAATAAACTGAAATATGTGGAGGTTTAAGACTTCTCCAGATATTAAAAAGAAACTATTTCAGGGCAATCACACAAAAATCCTTCATTTATTTAGGGTACAGAAAAACAGCTAAAAGGCAAAAAGGGAAGTTTTCGTCCAAATGGGTAGAAGTTGCCATGCTTGACAAGCATTTGAAAAGGTGACTTGAAGAGAATGTATATGCACAAAAGCAGAATGCATCTGGAGCCCTACTTTCCAAAAAGGAAAGGCAAAACCTATTTATAAATTCTGGTACATACAACTAGTACCCCTCCGAAATCAAAATAAAAGGTATTTATGATTTATTTAAATATTTCCCTCGCTCTCACTGGATGAGGCCAACGTGTCTCACGTGCAAAACTCTTCTATTTGCCACCCCAAAGAATGTATTCGCATTCTTTTAAAATTTTAATCTACTATTTCAGTGATCAGCAAATAAGAAATTGCAGTTTATGGTTATTCTCAGGAGATAAATTCTCTTTTTCAATGCTTAGATTTCCCATCGTTATTTGTTCTTTCACATCCTTTGAAATGTAGTCTACTTAGTTCTAGTTGACTCAGGAGAGCCTTTAACCATCTTCCCAAAATAAAAATCAGAAGAAAGAATTTTCAATCTGTTACGTAAACATTAATGAACTCACTTGAGTTGAAATTGAATTTAATGACATAGTAAAGACTCCAGCTATGCAACAGAAATTAGCTTAGTACATCTACATTTGGCAAACATCTAGATATCTATTTTGTACTTTTTATTGTTCATGGTAAACAATATGCTCACTCATACTTCTTTTTTACTCTTAACCTTATCTCATTGCTACTTTTGAAAGAAATGCAGAAATAATTTTCTTCTTCAAAAGCTAAAAAAAGAGAAAAGGAATAAATACTTTATTATAGTTAACTGAAATAATCAAGTGAGGTATTAGCAGAATTTCAATTACAATAATTTAAACGATTAACTGCTAGTTAAGCTCACTGATAACATCCACTTGGTTTTGTTTGTTCTACAGTACAATCAGTTGGTCCACACTAATGGCAGATGTTACTTTATTAAATATATACTACAAAGAAAAAAGCAATCCATACCAAATTGTCTGCTGTACAGCTGATCTGTTTTTCAGCTGACGGAATATTCAAAACACTGGAGACAGTACTCACACAGCACACATGGGAGTAATTGAGAAGTCTGTGAGAGTACCACCTTATCAATCATAGCAAAATGTTGACTTGTGTCCCCAGAAATATGGAAAATTATTCTGATTTGTGAAGGACAAGCTCTCTTGATTCAGTAACTAATATGTGACAAGAACTTTCAGTTGTCAAAGAAAAGGTATTCAAATTACCAGCTGCAGAGAAGAAGTAGATACCCTCCTTGGATCATCAAAACGAGGCAAAAAAGTTCTGAGAAATAGAATTAAGCAGCAAGTGACCACTGTTTTGTAAATTCTTCTGGTTTTGTCTTGAATGAGAAACTGCCACACTACTTAAGCTATTTAGTCCCTTGATAAAACTTGAATTCACTTGCCTACTAAATGCATGGTGGCGAGAGGCACCTTAGAGGGCTAAGAACAAAGAAGCTTGTCAGTCTCATGTAGAATCCTTATTCCTGGCTAACTGCCTGAGAAGGGTGCCTGGGAAAATACTCTAATTCTAACACCATTACTTCTTGAACTCCAGTAATTTTCTTGAGTGGCATCTATTAACATCACTTAAACATTCTCAAAATTCCAGAAAGTTTTTGCTCTGGTCATGTTCAATAGAGGGACAAGGTCCAAAAAAAGCTGGTGGTTTACATTTTTTGATACCTTAACTTCCAGATATTACACTTTTGGTTCTTTCTCCTTAGAGGAGGTTTAATTTCAAGTTGTTTCAATTCTCCTTTTAAGACTACTTTCACCACCTCTGAATTATCTGTCCTGTTAAATAAACTGGAAAAAGCCAAAGCAGGAAAAGTAAAACAAAGATCCAGACCTAACAGGTCCTGACAGCTTTAATATTCCAAGGGTTGTTTTGTACTCCTGATAGAAGCATCTCTAAGAAGTTTTGAGGTGATGAAACTCAGGTGTCCTAGAACAATGCATTAATTGGTATTCAAATACCTGACCCTCCAGTATTTAATGTCTTCAAATACACTGATCAAAATAACTACATACTTCCAATAGAAATAAGACCTTTTACTTAAACTGTTACAAAGAAAATGACTTGTGTTTTGAAGTTAGAAAATATCCATCTATGGGGCCTTCAGATCAGCATACAGCCACCTGGCAGTGATACCAAGTTTCAGATACAGTGGTAACGATATCCTGGGTAGATCGCTTCTTTAAAGAAGTTAAACCAGTTCTTACCAGTTCCTCACACTGGACAGCTTTCACTCTTTTTGCTGTGTCCAGAGCCGTCTCTCCAGCTTGGTTTACTACAAAATTAACAATAAAAAAAAAAAAAAAAAAAAAAAAAAAAAAGAGCAATTATTTGAGATGTCTAAGGAATCAACTAATTAAGTTTCACTGTTTTTAGCAGAGTAACTTCTAAAAGTGATCAAAAACGTCTATTTACTCTATAGCAGCTGCAGCTCTTTAAGATTCCACTCTAAGTGCTCATGCATTTCATGTATCATCAGGTTCTTTCTGAACAGCAACATCTGCTAGGACAGTTCCCAAACCCCCCTAACCATCCTAGCAGAGAATATAAAGAAATTTAGTCATTTCAATCTCCGTTCAACTCCTTTGCCAGCAAAACTCTCATATGAAAAAGCAGGAAAAGCAAGCAGACAGTGCAAGATAGCTTAAAAAAGAAAACTGTTCTAAGATTAAAAAAAAAAGAAAGCTAATGTTGATCCAAGCACGTTTTACTTTGATTAATACATAGCAGTTTGAAGCCTGAATTGAAGACAGAAGTCCTATTCTAAGATGACATTTTAACAAGAATAATTTTAAAACTTTCTAGCTATTTTGTCTTTATAAAGACTATAAAATGTTTCACATTTTTAAAATAATGCCTGATCAGAAAGAAGGTGGTATCTGAGCACTCCAGGTGGTCTTGTGGCACAGTGTCTAATAGGATCCTTCCCAGATGCTCAGTAACAAGTTTCAAGAAACAAAACCAACCCCCACACCCCAACCTTATATGGACAAACCTTAGATAAAATTTATTCTTACAGTATAGCTATAAATGCCATGGAGCTGGGACACAGTATGCTCTACATCATGGCCAGACGGTAAAGCATTTCCATGATTGGGAACTGCAACCAGTCAACCTGAGGTCTCATAAGCAAATATGTCTATGTTTAATACTACATATAGAATGCCGGTCATGAATTCTAGAAAATACAAAACAATCATTTAAGAAAGGCCTATGAATTTGAAAGAATTAAGATCCCTAGAAGAAGGAAGGTTCCGTATGGAAAGATCTATCTGAGATGGTTCAGGAGTTTTAATATGAAAAGGAATGAAAATACAGTATTTCTTAACTGAAATTAACACACAGCTTAAGAGACTACATAAATTGCAAGCTTTCAACTTTTAAGTATAAGCCTGATGTTTCGAGGCCGAAAGAAGATATGCAGTTCATATGTGAGAGCAATAAAAAAACCCCAACAACAAAAAAAAACAAATGAAAGACCCAGAAAGGTAACACCACTCTTTCTGCATCTGCCTAGGAGAAAGTTCAATGGGAAGGACCATTAAACATGCTTAAGCTTGTTCAGATAAAACTTTCCCATTTTCTTAATTAGGGACATATCTGAAAAAAAAAAAAAAAAAAAAAAAAAGGTCACATCAACTTCTTTGATTTATGATAACATCAGAACATATTCTAAGGATGCATGAAAACGCCAAGAAAACCAGTGACTTCTGCCACTGAGCTATGAACTTAAATTTACGCAATAGGTTTTTTACTGGGCAGTGGAAGAAAATTACGGTGATGAAGAATGAGGACGAAATAAAAGTTCATACTCTTCAGTTTGCAGCAACTGTTCAGAAAGCTACTAAGCACTGACGAATCCAAAAGTTTTATAGACATGCTGATGACACTTAGCTCCTGAGCTTGACAAGCTGGAGTCATGGAATACCTTCCTAACTCAAAATATGGCAGAGAAAGGAGAGCATCTAGTAAAGGAGAGAGTATCTTAAGTGTGAACAAAGAGTTTACAGAGTTTCTATTTTTAATTAAACTTTTGCTAAGCCACGATGAAAAATGGACTGATGTAGGTACAGCAAGTGTTATACCTATCTCACACATGTAGATGGCAAACAGAAGAAAGGCACCTGAGAAAGCTAATCCCTTCCCTAATCAGCTACAGCGGTGGCTAGGGCAAGCTGGGTGAAGCCACAGTGCCAACTGACATTAATATTAAAAGAAGAATTAACTGTTGTGTACACAAAGCCCACATGCATCTAAGAGTGGAATTCATGTGAGCAGCCATTTTAAGCATTGTAACATACAAGTACTAGATGAATTTTACAATATAAACAACAAATCTAAATTCCAAGACATTTATAATGTGTTAGAAATAAAACTCTGCAGAAAAACTAGGGTTTACCATTAGTATTTCATATTAGAAAATTTTTGTCACTATTATCTTCTAAGAATTTACGTTCCATTTCATAACTGAATGCTTCCTTTAGGCTGCTTGGTGGTAAAGTCTTCATCTTTCTAATACGGCTTTATTTTTCTTTTTAAAGTTCACTTAACACAGTGGAACATAAATAAAAGTGGTTAAAATAATGAAAAGAAATTTTAGGAAATCTTTGTTTCCTAGTTTTAAATCATGAACTCACCTACATCAATAGTTGGCTTCCCCCTCAAAAGCAATTTCAAACACTCAGGTTTATTATACATACTGCAGTAGTGTAGAACAGTATTACCCAATGCTGTTTGCTTATCCAGGTTTCCACTAAACACAAAAGAAAAAGCAATCAAGAAAAGTATAGCATATATTCATTTCAGATCTAGCACCCCTATAAGTAATAAATGCATAAATACTTTACTGGGCAAATATGAAGTAGAAGGAGAAAGAAATATTTTTAAATTAAACACAACTCTCCAAGACTATTAAGAAGAGTTCCATGCATACTGGAAATTCCTGAGCTGTGGTTGAAAAAGACTGAGCATCTACAGATGTTCATTCAAAAAAAAAAGTGAAACCCAAAGATTCAAACCTAGCGCTTTGCAAGGTCACACCAGTTGTTTTCCACCTGCCACTTTACTGGAATTTCTTTTTCAAACGTGCAAAATTATCCCAATAAAAAATATCTCAAAAATCATTTTGATACAGTTAGAACAGGCTAATAAGTCCCAAGCATTCAGGGAACTGAAGAGCGTGGCTGTGAGGATGTACAAAAGAGTCATAAGAAGGAAGGAAAGGAGACACACTGAGTTAGGAGGGAAAGACAAGCTACGCAAAGGGGTTCACAGGGCTTTTAAAAACTGTAGTTCCTTCAATTTTCAATTTCTAAAACAAGGTTTCTCAAAAAAAGTTACTGACATACTGGGATCAGTATAATAAATTTATAAAAAATAAAAGCTCAGAAGATTACAGCTTTTCTTCCACTCAATATTACCCATATTGAACAGTATGTGCAGAGCCCATATGGTTGTAAAGATACTCTTAAATTTGAGACTGAGACAAAAATACAGACAGCTGACAGAAAATATGTAAAAGGTGATAGTTGTCTGAAGAAACCATGAAGCTTTATAACTAAACAAACTTATTTTAAATAATCATCCAAAATAAAAGATCCTTTAATAATCCTCAAAATAATAATTTGGGCTTCTGAAACATTTTTCAAATTATGCTCTCAAACAGCTTGCAAATATCAGTAGCTTTTTTTTAATTTTACTTTACTTCTTTGTTTTAGTAACACTCCTACAACAGTCAGCACTCCATTTAATATGGGGGAGTGGTGGTAGAATAAAGTTTAAGTCAAGGTAACACAACTATTCCACACAGCCCAAGAGATGGCGTCAGGAACATGGATTCCAAGTCTGTGCTGTTACCAGACCAAGCTGTCTCTCCAACACTCCCTATATACAGCTCTAAATAAACTACTAGAGAGAGGAAGGGAAAAAAGTAAGTATTCACTGACTGTGTTTCAATAGCAGGTATGACTCGCTATGCTGAGGGAAAAACAAAAATTGAAAAATCCTCAAGCCTTCCCTCCGCCAGCTCAAGCAAATTGCGATGAGTCTTCTGTGTCTGCCCAACCCTCCTCTCCCATTGTTCTGCAAACCTCACTGTCCGACACAGCAAGCGGCTGCTGTTTCTTTCACTTAATAGCATACTATAGATGTAGACTGGAATTGATCTTATTTAATCATTACCTATATTGTGAAATGCTAAAAAAAAAAAAAGTTGTACCACTACACCATTTGATTTTTTTTTATGTTTTCATTAAGGTTTTTCACTTCTATGAACACATCTTGACAACAAAGAATAGCTCAGCCAATAAACTAGATGTTGAAAATTACTAGTTAAAAAGATTATGCTCTCAATAGCTTTAATACAGTTTATTCACTATTACAACACCTTTTTCCAAGTCAATCTAGCTTCTGTTCATAATTTTTTAAGATCCTTTTTTTTTTTTACTCTTCTACAATGTCTTTGCATGCATCTGTATTTGGAACGTTTACTTACCATCCCTGCTTTACCTGAACTATTCATTTGCATTGGTTTATATTGTCACGTGTTCTAAATCAATGCTCTCTTTTGCTCTACATAGTTTTTCCTTCCATCCTACTTTTATGTAACTGCTTTCCATGTTTTTAATCTACACTTCCTTCCCTCTCTCTACTCATTAGGAGCACAAAGGTCAATTCAAAAGTATCAAATCATGCTCTTTTGAAACATACCTAAGGAGAACAACTTTCAATGATGAGCAAACACTGTCCAAAGCACTGCAAGGACAGCTTTGAACACCTACATTTTTCATGCACAATTTAATGAAAAATGAGCAATCCATACCAGTTTTGTACAAGGAAGTCAACCAGATGGAGAGAGGTTTGGTCAGCAGTCCGGACTGCTAAATGAAGTGCTGTTTCACCTGGCTCCTAAACACAGGCAAACAGAAGTTAGATTTTTTTGTGTCTTATTTCTGCGAAGCTTATAATATCAGACCTACTGACATATACATCACTCACTCTTCTACCACAAGTCTTTCAACAGAAAAGTATTATTAGGAAATTATGACAAAAAAAATTGTCATTGCCCTTCTGATCTCTGAAAGACAGGGTGTGCTTCAAAGAAAACGGCATTGCACTTTCTGAGATCATAACTTTCTCAAAACCAGTCTTCCCTTTTTCCCAGCTGGATGGAACACTCCTGAGAAGCCCTTAACCATTTGGGCTACTAGGAACTAAAAGGGATCCTGTGAAGGAATACAGAGCGAATTTACAGTACTTGCTGCTTTATGATACCTTGGTAAGCACCAAGCATAGCCACAACACTATTTCCTACAAAAGCACAGGAAAAAAAAAAATCCACAGAAATCATAGTTCCCACATACATTAAATCTCTTACAGAATCACAGAATGGTTGAAGTCAGAAGGGACCTGTGGAGGTCATCTGGTCCAAACTCCCTGCCCAAGCAGGGCCACCTAGAGCCAGTTGCCCAGGAGCATTTCAAGACAGCTTTTTGGAATATCTCCAAAGATGGAGACTCCACAACCTCCATGGGCAACCTGTACCAACGCTTGGTCACCCGCACAATTAAAAAAAAAAAAGTTTCCTGACATTCAGAGGGAACCTCCAGTGAAAAGAGCCTGGCTCCATCTTCTTTGCATCTTCCCTTTGGGTATTTATATATATTGAGACAATCCCCCTGTGCCATCTCCAAGTTGAACAGTGCCAGATCTCTCAGTCTTTCCTCACTCATCAGGTGCTCTAGACGCAAACATTTTTGCGGTCTTTTGTTGCACTCTCTCAAGGGTGTCCAAGTCTCTCTTGTACTGGGGAGCCCAGACCTGGACACAGTACTCCAGCTGTGGCCTCACCAGTGCTGGGTAGAGGGGAAGGATCACTTCCCTTGACCTGCTGGCAATACTTTGTCTAGTGCAGCCTGGGATACCATTGGCCGCCACAAGGACACATTGCTGGCACATGTTCAACTTGGTGTCCACCAGGACCCCCAGGTCTTCTTCTGCAAAGCTGCTTTCCAGCTGGGTGGTTCCCAGCATGTATCAGTGGATGGGATTGTTCCTCCCCAGATAGAGGATTTCTCCTTGTTGAGCTTAAACTGAATGATACGTTATTTTTTATACATATAACATATGCATTAATGCATTTAAATGAAAACAGAAATGCTGTTTAATTCAGTTTAAAAGTTGCATGAGAAATTAATCTAAAACCAGATTTCATTAACTCCTTTTCATCATAAAGGGCACTTAAATATATGTATTGTAATACACTATTTTAGAATTAAAGTCACAACTTTAAAAAAAAATATGACTTTATTAAACATCTGAGAATTTTCAATGGAGAATGTTGCTATAAATGTCCTACCTCCAGACTACACTTGAGTTGGTGTTCATACCTTTCTAGGTATCACTGACTGTAATAGCTGAGAAACACTAAGGAGCTAATTCTTGGTAACTGCTATGGATGACAAATATAGAAAGTTTACCTTGTAGCTAAGAGAAACAGTAAGCACTCTGTGATCTCAAGTACCAAGACTATATTGAACTTATTCCCTCCATTAAACACAGACATGAACACTCGAGGTCAACCAAGACTGATTTTTTCAAAAAATCCCTATTACTGACTTCAAAAGGAAGATCAAGTATTCAGAATAAATTAAAAAAAAAAAATCCCTCTTCCTGGTAGAAAGAAATTGTATTTCTGTAAATGTTTCATCAGAAGCTATGAAGGCATCAAATTTATTCTTTCCTCACACAGAATAAACAGAAACTTATATACAGTCAATAATCTGTTCCTTCAGCAACTCTTTTAAAGGCAGATATGATACTGTCTGGGACATCAGATGACCCTGGCTTATCAAGTCAAGCTCTCTCTCTTTGGGCCTTTTCCTGAAAGAAACATACTGCAGAACAGGTGCTTTTTGATGTACTATAGTTGCACCTAGAGCAGTGTACAATATCACTATTGCATTTCACACTCCTTTAGACCAATTGATAACAACAGATATGGTCTTCTTTTCCCTCCCCGCAAGAATGCCACACTAAGGAAAAGAAGAAAAAAACCAATTTCATTTGTTATTTCTCTTGTTTCAGCATCTAAGGTGTCAGGCCCAGGTGCTAGACATTTTACAAACACACATTGTTTAAAATACTCTGCTTTGTTTACCTGATAAGCTTACCTGTCCAGGTTCTAACAGTGGCTCCATTAGCTCTACTCCCTCTGCATAGACTTGAATTAGTGCAAGTAAATCCCTGGATTTGACAGCCTCAAGTAACTCATTCAGTTTAGCTGCTGCAGATGCACAAGTCTTCCTAGAGAACTTATGATCTACGTATTTAGCAGTGATAAATTCTTTACGTGCAGTCCTGTGGGGTGTGAAAATAGAGCTTGGTTTAGAAGTGTTTAGAAAAATGGGTCAATGATTTAAATTTAAAATTACCTTGCTTAACTCAGGAGCTAAGAAGGGAAGAGGAAAACTATCAGAAAAAGACTGTGTGATTTATTATTATAATGTATGTTTTTCTTACAAACAAGTCCGAAATACGGTGCATATTCAGTTTTAATCTGCCTTCTTGTTACATACAAAAATTACTCTGACTCTGGGGACTAAGATCAAAGAAAAAACAAAGCCTGAAGTGTGATTTCTCATCTGCATGTTAAAAACAGGATAAACATGAAAAACATGCTAAAACAGGATAAAAGAAAAAAATAGTAAGTCAGCTAGAAAACAGTGTAATAGGATAAAAGGTCTTCTGTGGCAAAACTACATCTGTTATACTCTCTGTGCAACTCCTACACCAGCAAAAGGAAGAAAAAGCTCATCACCATCTCAAGCCAGTACCAGAAATTAGCATCATTTAGTCCAACTGTGTTTATCACTCGAGGGTATACTACAAAACTCAAAAACATTCAAAGATTCAAAATAATGAATCTTGAAACCCAAACTTAAAGTTTTCTATACTGAGAAGCTGAGGTGGCTAAAGCATGACTACGTGACAAGAGACTGAACTTCTAAGAAATTCCACAGCTGGCATAAACACCACCAGTCTTCTGCTATCCTAGCCTTCCTCTGGTTTGGCTACTGTTTAAGACATTTTACATTTTATATAAATTCCACAGTAAACTTAATGTTAAAGAATTTAGAGATTCAAAACTTACATATCACTTGATGGACTGGGTTTAGGTGAAGGACTAGGTAAATTCCCTTCCATAATATCGTTAAAACTAGTATTTCCTACATTCTTGGCCAGCTGAAACAGGAAAAAAAAATATATATATATGAGGATGGGGTTTTGGGGGGTCTAAAAGCAACCTAAAAACTGGACTAATGTGCATTTTCCACACTATTAATAAAAGATGGAACACACAGGATTGCAAAATAAAAGCATGATGATTAAATTTAAGTATAAAGCAAGCAAAAAATATTTTCAAGTGTGAATCCTATTGTCCCAGAATTTGTCCAATAGGCTTCACAGTCACAGCTAGTTTATTTGTATTTCAAGACAATCTGCCTCCAATATTAAAACAGAATGAGGACCTAGCAGCATGACCATTGAAACAGTGCTAGTACGCTGATCAGGAAGTCACTTTTGGAAAGAAGCTCAGACCTACTGGAAAGTCACGCTTAGTAAAATTTGATTTAAATGAACGGTAACTTTACAAACAGCTCAAGGCTTCAAAAAGAGTACTGGTGCTATGGCTAAACCTATACACAAACCCTGTAACAAGCATCTTCTCACAGCCCAAACGCAGCTGGGGAGATGAACCTGGTGTAACTGGTTTGGTTTTTTTTTTTGTTTGCTTTTATCTTTTCTTCCTTCTTTTTGTTTTTTAGTATCTCACATCAAATTCCTTTCAAAACTTTAACATTACATGGTTTCTTCCATCAAATTAAAAGATTAATCCAACGTTTTTCTGTCAAAATTAGCATGGATTTTCTCACTTCAAGTTAAGTTAGCTTTCTTTTTTTTTTTAATGCCATTAGATTTTAGACTGTCTTGATTTAGGGTCAAGATCAGCTAGTAACAGGCAACATTCTGATGGCACTAATGCGATGGATGTCAATATTCATTCCACAAAACCTCAGGAAATGAACATGAGAAGTGACAAGCAGTCAAAAGCATCAATAATACATAATACTTAAAACCCTCCCATAAACCAACATAGAAAAATACAAAGAAGACATTCTGCAAAACCGATACCTTGAAAAAATTAACCGTAAATTATATACCTGAATGTTTCCCGTATACAGGTTAACATTTGCTAAAAAAAAACAAACAAACAAAAATTCCAAATTAAAGAACCTTACCAAGAGTTCAGACGTTCCTAATTTGTCTAATTCCAAAGACTGGATTCGAGAAATATGGACACCCATTTCTCTGTGTATTCCAGAACACTCAATGCAGGTTAAAATGCCCAAATTAGTTGATAGCCATGTTGGATCTGTAGGATTGAAAAACAAAATATTTAATCAAAGTCCAAGAAAAGGTTTTCAATGGTGGTAAGAAACCCCAACGTATTCTGAAATGATTCCTCATTTAACGTTTTAACAAATGGAAATAAACTAAGAATATTCCATACTTTTCTCCAAACTGCAGTGCAAATTTAACCACAAAATGCTACCAATGGAATTAATGTTTTCAGATTTAGGATCAGTCCCAAAGGCACTGAATTTAGACTTATAAATCCATATTGAATTACTGTATTTGAATATGTTTAGGATTTGTTTCTTGTAGAAAGAACACAAGGCTTTTCTTTCCTGTTTTTAAAAGGAACAGATCTCCTAAATTCCACTGTTGGACACGTCTGAAATTTTAATCTTTAATACTTAAACTTTAAAAGGTCTTTCTTCATGAACGATTAACCACAGCATTTTCCAATATGTAAAACAGTAATATATTGCAGAAAATTTAAGGAACGCTGGCTAGTCCAGCAAAAAGAAAAATCATTGATATTATGGAGGAGATCTGCATGTAATATTCAAATAGATACTATACTAGGAATGCTACATAAAAAGCAAGAACAGTTTTTAAGGAAAAGAAAAAGCTCCAGGCATATTTTGTATACATACATGTCTTCAAATTAACCTCTTCCTTGATCTTAAATAGCAACTGATAAAGCATTAAGTCAAGAGTTTTAAAGCAGCAAGCTGGGGTGCAGGAGTGAAGCTTAAAACTTCACTATAAAGTAGAAGATGAATGAGAACTGTAATCCGATGTTTCTGTAGCTTTACATGATGAAATAATTGAACGAACGAATTCCAGGATTTGACGTAATTATATCCCACTTCGTATTTTTATCTAGGTATTTCTTATTTGGATCAGTTCTGCGTCAGTAAGCATCTTCAAGATACATACTATCTACTTTTTTCCAAATGAATATCCCCTTCTTGAAGTGTCTCTTTAGATGTGAAAGCTGTAACAGCTGCCAACTACCACATCGATTCAGTAGTTCTATGAGAAGTTGATTCTTCTCAAGCTCTAAGCGACATACAGCTGACCTGTAACTCTGTACTTCTGAAGATACAATCTGACAGGATTCCAACCCTGGGTCTCATTCTTTGCACAAGACTACTTATTCTGCCTCTGAATATTTTTGATACTGCAATTCCAGTAGTCTCATGCCAAGATAAAACCTCAGAGTAAGATCCTGGCCAGGTCAAGCTTTCCACAATCATTGTCTAAGCATTACTCACTTCTACTTAGTAGCATGCACAGGATCAGTGATGCCAAGCAACTTCCATTCAAGTGCAACAAGCATCTAGAGACAGTGCAACAAGAACAGTTCAAACTCCAGAGGGGCTTGAACTGCTGGAAGTAAGCACAGACAACACACAAAAATATTTTAGTGAATTAAACAGAACTAACGTATGAAAGTCATATTTGTTCTTTTAAAAACAGGTTGAAGACTGATCAACACATCACTTAGAAAATTAGTTTGCACTCCACAAACACTTCTTTAAAGAAATTACTTTGCTCCCAACAAGAAGTTGATGACATTAACAAATTGAGATACCTGGTGAGCCACAATCACAACAGACTTCATTTCCGGGTAATCTCTGTATGTCATCTATAATGGCTTTTGTCAGATCCTCTAAACTGTTTTCCCCTGTGCTCTGCTCTCCACGGAATGCCATATTTAATGCTTCTTCTTTGCTGTTAGTCAATACTGATATCCATCTAGCACAAGATAAAGACCTTAATGAAGATCTGCATTTTTAAATACAAGTTAATCTATAAACTGTAGAAAGCTTGCCAGGAACAAAATATTAGTGGGAATATAGGGGAGGACTGTATTGTGGGAGAGACTGAGCAAGGAAAAAGTGAGAGAGAGAGAAAGTACTGAGAAAAGGGAAGAATGAGAAAAGACAAAAGAGAAAAAGTCTTAATTCTAAAGTCCCTTTGGTGAACAATTTTAAAGTCAAAGCAGTACAGTTCTCAGGTTCATCAAATAAGCAGAAGCTGTGGAAGAGAAAGGGTGCAATTAAGCTCCTGTAAATTTAACTGCTTTAAAAGTAGGTGCCTAAGATCTTCCCACGGGTCTACCCCGTTATTAAAGGAGAAAACCATAACCGCTACTTTCTCCAGTGTGCATCTCTCTGTTCATAGAGGAGACAGCAAGCACGTTTTTGAATCTGTTGATGTCAAGTTGCCTTTCAAAATGCAGGTCTCTGTGCACTAACCAGAGTCAGACTAAATCCAAATTACTGAAAATTGCCATGGCAACAAATGGGGTAAGGAAGAGAAGATGACGGGAGAGTAACGATATTGATAGCCAACATAAAATTTTAAGAGCAACTGTTGACTGCAACAAATCAAGACTCTCTAATGATTTTTCAAGGCACAAGTTCCCGCCCACCCACTCTGCAAGTTCGTGTTTACACAATAATGTTTTAATTAAAACCAAGCAAAAACCTCTCAGTGGCTGCTGCCCTACAGGTGGAAGCAAAGAGGGGAAGCATTTATACTAAGGACAAGCACATTGCAGATGCAGTGTTGCCTAATTTAGAAAAAGAGCAAATTAAAAAAAAAAAATCCTCCCAGGTACAGTGTTTTGAGATGGCTTTAGATCTACTGAAAAGACACATTTTTTTACACAGAAAAAATTTAAATTGGCAGTGTCCTCAATCCATTTCCTATTTACAGTATCACAATTATCTGCAATGATCAATCTTCTAAAATGTGCTAGAATGGCTATGGTCATCTAAAAAACTAATAGAACTGCAGATTGAAATTCATAATTTCTTATGGAAATAATAATGCAGAGATAAAATTTAAAGTGTTTCAGAGGGAAAATTATGTATATAATCTTGCAATACAGATTCAGAGCCTGAACAGGTATATGGGCACTGCATATTCCATACTTCACACACATGCGTTCTTTAATTTTTTATGGGCAGAGAATAATCTGAGAACTTGTACTTAAAAGAAAATACTTTAAAAATTATTGAAAAATCAACCTTAAAAATAGAAGAGAAATTGAAAGATTTGAAAACAAATTTGCTCCATAGTTTGCATGCTGAAAACAAATATATTGGCATGAATTGCTCTCTAGCTATACGATACAATGTAAGAACCCACACTAGATGGCGTCCTTCTGCAATTTTTCTGATAAAATCCAATGTTATTAAAAAAATAAGAGTTGGCTGTGTCTTGCTTCTAAAACTATAGTAACATTGTGTTAAACACAGAGTAAAATAATCATTAAACTCAGACAGACAACATTTATTCTGACATTTGTTGACAATTTCTTTCAGGGTTACAATTTGATTAGTTTGTTAAAAATGCAGAATTTGAATAAAACTCAACTATGCAGTAACAATTAAAAACATTATTAGATGCAATTAAAGTAAACACGACATGACTGAGCCAGCTGTTAGTTTGATACATGTTTCTGCATTAAGAGTTTCTAAACCGTAAGAGCAATAACTTCTTTTGGTTGCATTTCCTCAGCTAGAAGGAACCCACTGTCCAAGGCTGCATCACTGGTGTCATCTGTGAGACAGTCGCAGCAAGAGGCACCACCGCGTCAGCTCTTCCCAGACATCAGCAGCAAGGCCCGTTTAACGCAAGCACAGTAACAGACACTTTCTTAATGGCTCATGCCATTTATACAAGAAGCCCCCAGTTGGTCACCAGGCCTTCCTAGCAGGCTGTGCACTCAAAAATAAACAAGTCAAATCAGTAAATATGGCATATTAACTCAGTGTCAACAGTTTACAAAAACTGTTTTATGACTGCTGTTCTACCCCTTTTTTCTTACCTGCACTAGTCTTTTTTTCTTTTTTAAAAAAAAATGTATTTTCCTTATTTCACCAGCATCAAGCTAACAGTCAAAAAGCTTCTAGTAATACTTTGTAGTAATATTTTTTCAAATAATTTAAAAATTATTCCAGTCTCACAGAATTGCTTTGTCGTCTATCTAATAACAGGAAGAGAGGTTGTTCAATAAGCTACCACAATTTTTTTTGCTGAGTCTCAGAAAGTCTCATGGTCCTTTGAGGCATTTTGTTTGCTGGAGATTCCCACCTTTAAAGACATGAGGCTCAACAAAAAACTGGCATCATGGGTGACTTCTGGATCCAACAAGGGCAACAGAAGTGTTCATTAACCTCAGGTGGACCAGACTCTCAGATTCCTCTTCTTTTTCTTCAATATTTCTAAGCCAAGAAAAGCCCTCCCAGAATAACCAGGCTAATAGTTTCTTTGGTTTGCCATAAAAATTTCTCTCTGTCTCTTTGGACAATCCCTATTGCAACATTGTTGTTTCCAGGTAAACGCACAAACAGAACCCTAGCATAGTAATTTTCAAACTTTCAGAAACAACTTTTTTTGTATGGAACAAGCAACAGGTAGTATCAAGACCTTCCAACTCAGTCTTCCCAAAGCAGAAAATGTCTGAAGACTGTTGCTAAATGCTAGACTGAAGTCAGATGTGTCCTTCTTCACTGCAAAATTTCTGAATATAGCTCTGTTTATAATCCAGACTTTTCCTACAGAAATGGATATACTCTTGACCTTCAAAAAGAGAGTAGAAAAGAACTAACAGGTCATGTCCAGGGCATGTTTGGCCCTACCCACAGTTATGAAAAAGTAGAAAGTATCTATTACTCTATGTGTTAAAAAACACATCTGGTTATTTTAGAGATCTGAGGTTACATTTCTTAAAATAGACACATAAATACACACACACACACACACACACTTCCCCCACCCCTGCATACACTGTACTCTATCTACTAGAAAACTAATAATCCACCGAGAATTTTGAAGGACAGTCAAGAAGTAAATTAAAAGTCAACAGACAGATGGCTGGACAAGAATCAAGAAATGCACTGGACTAAGGGAAATGTTTGAGGGGAAGCAGTAATAGACCTATAACACAATGTAGGCTTCAGTGATTTCAGTTTTAAACTGTCTGCTTTATAATTAAGTAGTTTGAGGAGCTATTTATGGAAGCAGTTTAAAATGATCACTAGGACAACATATGCAAGGTCAGTTAAACTTTTTTCTCTATTTAGATGTGAGGCTGGAAGGAAAGTGATTTGAAAATTTACGTATGCATTTATTCCTCAACTGGTGCATAAAGGAAAAAAGAACAGAAAAAAAAACAGAAGCAAGACTAAAACTGGGTGGACAAAACACAAGATGGAGAAGAAAGGGACAAGAGGGGCACATATATACAGGTCAAGTGGAAATTGGAACAAGAGGATGACAACTGTAATTGAGGTGCTACACCACATAGTTACTGCAGAACGCTCTCAAATCAACAAGGTTGGAAGTCAAAGGGTGCTGTTTGCATGACACCTTAGATAATAAAGCTATTTAGGACCTACTAGTTGCTGCACAAGAAAAACAGAACACTTGGTTACATTGTAGTTTTTCTTCAACACATTAACAGTCATTCTGGTTCATGAACTTCAATTAACTAGAGATACTGCACAATTTTCATAAAGAAAAAAAGAAAATAAGTTTCTGTGTGCACCTCAAAGTACATACCATTTTCTGAAACAGAACACTTCTCCGAGTAGTATTACAGTACCTTTTAGTTGGTGGCTTGCAGTGCCAATACAGGCAAAATACACTTACACTATTAATTTGTCTGCATGTATTCCAACACTTGGATGCAACTGATGTCTCTTTAGCTAAATGAAACTTTTTAACCTTGCAGCAACATAAAAATATGCCAGTGTAAGTTATTTTCTCAGCCACTGGACTTTAAAGTGATAAATCAGACTTAGCAGTAAACAAATGGGAACTATAGTTCTAATGGGAACCAAAACCAGCCTGGAATTGCAAACCACTCTAACAGGCAGTCAGCTAAACTAAATTTATTGACCTGCCAATAAGAATTAATATACTAATGTATTCTCTCCCTATCTTGCTCATGCATTAAATAAAAAACAACAACAAAAAACCCAACCAAACAAAACCGAAAAACCCCAAAAAATCAACTTCACCTTTGAAACCAATAAATATAGTAAAAGCTAATTTATGGCAGAGACACAAAAAGTCTCATTCATCAACTGCATTACTCATCAGAAGAAACAGTATTTTCTTCTTGACTAAAAAAAACCTAGTGGAATAATTAAGTTCCAGAATGAATGCAGTAAGCATGACTAGCAAGTCAGCTTTGCATTCCAAGAGCCAACATAAAGCTGTGGAAGACTCTGGAAGGAAATAGCTGTGTCACAAAAGAACTCTCCAGCTTTCCCATTTCATCCACGCCTCCCAGCATTGAACTGTCGATGCCACTGTGGCACAACACTACCAAATAACTGAAATACCCTACAAACATTCCCTGTACCTTTAAAATACACACGGAGCAATATGGACACACAACAAAAGAGCACAAGAGTCCTTAAGAATCAGGCAGCCATGAAGGCTCAGGCTGGCTGCCCTCTTCACTAGTAACTTCATTCTCAGACTTGTCAGGTGATGAGCGCTAGATTGCAATGTTCTGCACAACACACACAATATTCAGGAGGAAAAAAAAGTGGTACATGGTTCTCAGGACAAGTAGTTGTGATGCAGCAGGTAGGAAGAGTGTTTTAAAAGAAATAATCTGGTTGGAAAGACACATTAATGAAGCAAGTTACTGGATTTTGAAGTACACAAATCTCAGAGCTGTGCTTTGCTGTTTATTTCTAGGCCTACAGTAAAAAAGATGCATAACCTGTATGTATTTTCTATGTGTTACATGGAGATCTTCTATCTATTTCTTACTTTTAATTTAAAGGAAAAGGTTAAGATCAGGAAGAAAAGAAGTAACTGCAGAAGAGAGTTGACACAGAGGATTTAAGAAGAACTTAAAAATATTTCATTTGAACCCTAATAAATTGATCTACTAGATCACGCCAATCAACTGCACATGAACCATGTGTTGGCAGGGTACACAATTTAAATGGGGTTTTGGCGATTTGTTTTTAATGTTCAAGGCTTTCAAAGAGCCCTGTAGTGTGACACAAAACAGTTTACATTTATAGATTCACAACAGCAGAAAAAACAAGGCAGCAGGCACTACTTCTGCATTAACTGAGAAAACTATTTCCACTATTACATGTGATTTTATAGACCTCTATTGGCAAAATTAACTTGAAAAAACGTAAACATTCTTACGCTACGTATTCCTGTTCATCTTCTGCTTGAAAATGGTATGTTCTGTTATCTGAAATAAATACATACATTTTTTCATTTGGCACATAATAAATTTTAAAATATCTATGTACTTGTTACTAAAATCTCTTTGGCAACTAAAGCTCTTAACCAGCAATACTTTATTCATAACTACAGAAAGAAAACCTAAAAAAAGAAACCAAAAAAACCCAGCAAAAGATGAAATTGTGAATTTTGATTTACACCAAATGTTTTATTATTTTTAGAAATATTAAAGAAGAATAAACAATACAAATCAAATTTTGCCCTTCTGAAGTCAAATCTGAAACATAAGTAGCTATTATATGTTCCTATTATATACTTTTCCCTCCTGTTTGGGTTAAGAAACTTCTTTTTACTAACCAAAGGATGAGAGATGAACTGCATATTATCCCTCACATTCAAAGGTTTCATAGACTGTCCTTGTAAATATAGAACGTTGGAACTGTTTGTTGTTTAGTATGTAAAGACTGAAAATCATAAGTTGACTCAATCAACTTCAAAAATATTTTCGAAATCAGACTGGATACAAATACCTACTATACAAGACCAAAACGGGAAGAAGGGAAATCACAGGAGCTTTAAAGTTGAGAAGTAACTACCAATTTTAAACAAACAGAAGCATATTTGAAAAAGAGGATAAGAGAACATGAGAAAGGCAAGGAGAACCCAATTTCCCAACCCCCCAAACAGCACTCAAAAAGCTGAACAGACAATGAAGGAAAAAACAAGATGAGGCTGAAGGTCTTTTCCATTTCCTGCAGGATATAGCTTATGCACGTTCCACTAAGCTGTTAAACATCTCTCTGAATTTAGGTGAACAGCACATAAGCTGCATTTCATGGCTTGTCACAAATGACCAGTATTTATGTCACACATACACACAAAAAAGGTTCTTTATTCATTTGCTCGCTCAACCCATCTTCAAAACCAGAGGGATCTGAAATCTCATGAGGCACTGCATGTATCTGGATACAGACCTGAATTTGGAACTGTAGCCTTATTTTTACTCAAACTATCTTGTAATGACATTTTTAGAAATCCCACATAATGCAAGAGGGTACTAAAGTTGCTACATACGTGATATTAGATCAAAAGACTTCTTATCTTCAGCATTTGGCTTCACCTGGCAGGTCAATAAATTCAGTTTAGCTGGTTGCCTGTTGGACTAAAAAGAAAATTTATTTTACTTTAAAAATGTCTTGATTTAGGATTATTTTTCTTTTCTGGGGTGCTGTGGTTCTGCTGGACCACTTTACGATTTCAGAAACTCCCATCAGATCTTGGCCTTGGCGAAGGAGTCAGACCATTAGGCGGCACTGTCAGTACCAGAAACTCCTACACAGCTGAGGCGGGGAGCGAGAATGGAAACAAGCAGTTATCTCCTGATAGCCCTGAAGCATACCTCATCTGAATCATAGCTCAAGTGGCTCGGTACCATCATTACTGGAATTCCAGTGACTACCAACCCAGATTGTAGCCCAGACTGGAAATTTACTGATGACTAAAGCCAATCATCTCACAATCCTATAAAACAGTGGTGCTAACTGAGGCCCTTTGAGCTCTCCTGGACCACAGTGGGCTGCGAGCAGCATCTCCCTTTGAGTGGGACACCTCTCAGAGCTAACAAACTTAAGTATGCTAAAATCAGAGGTTCATCAACGAAGATCAGCGGTGGAGCCTGGGCTGAAACCTTTCACTCCTTGAGGCTCAACCCTTGCCTGTTGAGAAATGCCAAGACATTTGATGGGAGTATTTCACTGAACTCGAGGGGAATTTTTAACATGTATACCTTTATGTGTGTGTGTGTGTGTGCGTATATATATATATATATATAATCACCTCTGTGTGTATGCATGTGTGAATTAATTTAAGCAGTCTGTAGATGTATGATTTAATTACAAAGTGAATCTTACACCACATATATATATATATATAATCCTTAGATATAAACCGTTGACCAAGTCTGAGACTAAGATTGGACCTAGCTGCACCTAGACTCCTCTCTGAAAAGGAGTTTAGAAAGCAAGGGGATCTATTCTGAACCTCATGACTCAACAGGAGGGTCTTCCTTATCCCCTACATCCATGATCTCTCTATGAATCGTTCAAACTCGAGCGCAACTTAATTTTCCTTTGTGTACTTCTTCCATGTAGTAATAGACTGAACCTTGCTATCTTCGACTCTTTAACTAAGTCGCTGTTTTGATTAATTTTGTCTAATCACTTTATTCATTGACTGATGATTGAGTACTATTAAAAATATCACAATCAAATTCTGCAATTTGCCACAACTAAATTCTAAACTGCTACTAAATCAAACTGTGTAAAGTCACTCATTCACAATAAATTAACATAGCTGGCAGGATCCTAAATCAGCATTCGTGACGAACTGGCATAGTTGGCAGGATTCACAAATTCATTTGCGACAAGAGTGAGAATGTTTGATATTAATTTAAAGTGTATGCACATATGTACAACCTCAAAACACCCGAGACCAGCATGACTTTGTCTGACTTGGTCTGTCAGAATGGACAGATCACTAAACCTAAACAAAATTAAAATCTTCACAGCAACTCCTCCTGACTATTTGAAAGGGACTAAAGGAATAAACCTTAATTTAGAATATGCTAATACAGAAGTTTTTTATTGTATTTCATAAAACACCCGTAAAACTATTATGCAATTTTTCATTACAGCATGCTCATATTCCAATTTTCCTCCTATTTAAAATAAATCAATGATATAATCCTAACCTTAAAAAGCGAAGTGTGAAGCTGGAGATCTGGAGTTTCAGAACTTTGAATAAATACAGCTACTAATATTATCTGCTGTAATTAGGTTACTTAAGACATGATAACTAAATGTGTCTGATGTATTCTGGGTTTATGCAGGTTTATCAGAAACCACAGAGATACCAAATTAAAGATACAGCAGCTGGCAGATATAAACTGAACACGAGACATCAGTTATCAGTAAATACTTCTGAACTGAGTTTTCAAGTTGTTCATGTTAGAAATTGTAAACCAAGTATAAAAGTAATGCAAAACTAGCAAACAAAAAAAAAAAAATCTTGAAGTGCATTTCCAACATTGTCAAATGTTTGTCAGAACAAGCTCATCAATACAATATTTTTGACACTTAAGAAGCAACAATTCCTTGAAGGAGTAAGTATGCGATTGGAGTCTCAGTTTTCAAAGTTTAGTCTCGAACAGACTGTCATGATCTCAGCTTTTCATCATTGCAAACAAGACAATTACTTTACTCTTGGCACTGCAACAGAAAAGAGCAAACGGGCTGCTTTTACACAGCTACATACAAGAAAAGGAAAACTACAATCAATAGTGCAATTCAAATAATTCTAAATTGTCAAGTCTTGACAATACACAGTATTTTTTTTCAAAAATGGTGGTAACTGAACTATTATTATATTAGGTATAAATAATTTGACTAAGTGACTCCTCAAAGGAGGCAAGCATATCTTCTAGTCATAAAAAAAAAACCCCAGCACTCCAGTACAAAATTAAGTCACTTCCCTTTAAAACTTGCTTAAGACAGGTGGTTAACTTTAGACACTGACCCTCATGGCCATCAGTGGAATTTCGGGCAAAGGGGGAAAAAAGGGTGATGAAACAGGACCATCTCCTTTAACGAGAGTAAAAGGAGTTACTCTTGTTTGCAATGAGTTTGTGTCATACTGCTGCAAGACAGTTTTAGGACTGCCTCCACCATGGTGATATTGTTTCCTCATGATTTAGCATTCCTAGGAAGATAATTCAGATATATGCCCGATTCCCAGAACACACTATGATGACAACTCTCCAAAATTTCACACTTAGTTGAAAGCACTCACAATATTAACACATTCGCTCATCTGTCAGACTCTATCAGTAACATCTAATATCAAACGCTTCCCACGTTTCCAAATTATGTGCTTCACAGATATACCATGACAATCCTTATGAGCAAAACCAGTTGAACTAGTCATTGAAAAGTCTGATCAATATATTGCCATTTTATTATCAAACTACTGATAAATGCATTTAATTAAATCAACTGTCATATGCTAAAGTGGTGAGGGAAAAAAATTGAAGAAAAATTTTAGAAGGCTAAAGAAGAGTTCACTTACTTCATACAGTTCACAGAGAGTTTTGAAATTAATTTCAAACCCGCCTTTATTCTCATTTTCTCAGTCTGATTAGTTGAACGAATTTAAATTTTTTACAAAATGAATGTGTAGGCATTAAAATGTTTTAAATAGCTATGAACCTATGTAGGCATAAAACACCTGTAATAGAGACATCTATGCATGAACGAGTTACTGATCTTCCAGTACAGTTAACAGCCAGAATTGAGTTTATAACAAGACATCTGACCAAATCTCCCCAGACTCTTTTCACTATATTGACCCGCTCTCCAGTGGCTAAGAGAGGAGTCTCTACAGGATCTTGCTCTGATGCAGACAGCTACACTGCTGACATTTCATTCCCACTAGTGGTCAGCAGCAGATAGCTAGGAAAAATTTTCATAGAGCATGTATAACAATACTTCCGTAAGTCAGTCTCCAAGTTCAGGTAATCCACAGAATTTCAACCATCGGAAGCGGAAGTGGCATCTTTTTTGTAATAGGAGATTAACACCAACAGATTCACTAGGAAAGGATAATGTTAACTTATTATTTTAATAAAAAGGTATAAAAATAACTTACCGTTGCATGTGATATGGTAAGAATTCCATTTTTAACAGTGCACTTTCTTCTTTGCCATACTTTCCTTAACCTACATAAGAACATCAACAACAACAAACTCAGTAACTAGACATGATTTCAAAACATATGTTAATCCCATTAACATTTGGAGAAGATTAGTCTTGAGAGAGAAAAGGATGCGGTCAAAATTTTACTGAATGCCTCACCAAAAGTAACCTGGAGTTTTATGACAGGTCTTAATCACCTTCTAGATACTTATAAAGACAATAGCTTTGTTTTGAATATGACTTTTTTTTTTTTTAAACAATTGCTTGTCATGCTTTTTATATTTACTATATTAATTCAGATCTGTGTTCAGTTTTGACCTGTGAAGTTCTTGAGTACTTGTGGCATATGATTAGGAGAATGTGCCTTAAGCAGCCACAGCAGAAGCCAACAAAAATCAGTGCGTGAACTGTGTTCTATGTATTCTGTGTTCCAAGAACATACCCATCACTCTTTTTTAAAAGATAACCTTTCTTCTCACTGCCATATTCCTTATTGCCCTGAAGCTGATGCATACTATATCCTCCTTGCCGGCTCTGTGAATCCTAAAAAAGGGAAAAACACCATTAATGTTTCCTGACATGCACAGTAAGTTTTCCTAATCTTGAAGCCTATTTTATTTCTCATCAATATCACAACTTCATAAATTAATAAAGATAAAAAAAAAACTCCTAATGCATGTTTTACATCCATAGGAGAGCTTGCTTTTACTTCACGTGATCCTGAACTAACTGCATGTTCAAGATTCCATCACTTCATTAGGCATTTGAAGTATAGTATGGATGCAAATACGCATCTCAAAATAATGACTTTTTAAAATATAGAAATTTAATATTGCATAACTTTATAAGCAAAGAGTAAAAGGCTAAGATAAAATTTCAAAAACAAAGCAACAGAATATAGCATGCATATATACAGAAACACACATATATAAACAAACAAAAATAAATGCTAATGATCACTATTTTTTTTTTTTATCCAATTAAAAATACGTCTATAATTCATGAGTTTTAGTGAATGAAGTCAACTGAAATAACTTTTGGCCTGATCTAGTGAAACAATTAAGTGAAATGTGCTTATAACAAGTTAATCCATCAGAAAAAAAAGCCCCAAAAATTCATTAAAACATTGACTTACTCTCCTAGACTTCGATCACGAAAGGCAAAAGCAATAGAGGAAAGAGAAAGCAAATAATTTAAAACAAGAATTATTATTTTATTTTAAAAACATGTTCCTTGAACATAAATTTTGTATCCCCCGTTTCTAGTAAAACAATTTTCCCCCTTTTTAAGCACATTGCTAGAAAAAAGGCAAGAATTACACTTTAGGCACACTGGTGCTTTTCTCACCTAGTCACAAAACATCGTGAACAAAATTCTGTGCAACCTTGCATATATGACATTTGCTTCAAAAAGCAACTAAGATGACTACAGGACCAAGTTTTACTAAGTGTCTTCCAGTCTTTACTACATTTAAATTGTCTAAAATGATAGCTGTACTTTAGCCTCCACCGAACTGGAGCCAATTTGGAATTCCCATTGAAAAAGATCAGGCCCAAAGTTAAAAATTTCAAACCCCCATTGGAATTAGGGTCCTACTGGTATCGCCATAGGAAAGAACGTAATGAGATATATTTCCTGTTCCAAAGAGCATAACAAATGGAGATTTGGGGAAATAAATTAAAACGTGAAGAAATAGTTAACAAAACAGACACAAAACATGATTCTAAAGACCAGGTATATTCAACTTAAAGCTGTTAAGTTACATTTGTACCAATAATTAACATACAAAAATAGGGAATATAAGCCTGGCTTTCTTTAAGATTTAAGCTTCTACAAGCATTTTTTAACATATAAAATAAATACTTTACAGAATTAAAATTACACTACTATCCCTTAAAATATTTTTCCCCAAAGCTTCAAACCATAGTCGTTTTACAAAGTGAGATAATTCTTGCGCAAAGCAACAGAAACTGCCATAACTTGATAACAAGACAGTACATAGCGGCAACAGGAGGCATGGCATGTAACAGAGCCACAGTAAATTGCACATCCCACAGTGAAGCTACAGCACTAGTGCTTCTCTGCAACCCAAGATTCAACCGTTGCCAAGATGTGCTCTTCCAAGAACCAGGTAATTGCAAAGATTACAGCAATAGTTTTTCACTGATGAAAGGACGGGTGTGCCACCAAAATGTGTAAGGGCTTTACAGATGTCCATAATGCTGAAGAAGCACCTTGAATGTATCCAACAGTAAAACAAGAGTTGCATTATGAGACCTTGAAGGCATAGGGAACGAGGTTAGCTCATTTAGTACATGAGTGTTTTTTCCTGAATGAAAGTATGGGTGCTGAAGAGTAATTTTTCCATGCATATTATTTTAAATTCAAAAAACATCCTAAAGGCTTTAATAGACTTAACAGCCATGCAGGAATGTCTTTTGTTATCTGTAACAAGTCAGAGATGGGTAGGAAGTTCACTTACCTAATGGCAGTTTGGACACTAGTTTCAACTTCTCTTGCACAAAGGGTCAAAGAAATTTAAAACTACACACAACCAGGGCCTCAATTTTATTATTTCAAACTGCTTCCCTGCCAAAGTAACTTTTGGTAAGAGTACTTCTGAATCTCTACAAATCCACCAGAGAAAATCCCATTCATATCAAGTTCTTCAATATCTCCATTAATCCATAAATTTCCCAATGGCAGCATTATAATGCAGTAATTTAAGGGGGAAAATTATTCGTAATCACAACCAACCAAGCCATCTGTCACAGCAATAAAGCCCAGATCTACGTACTTGAAGATTCAGAATATACACAATGATGGAGAACTGACTGCTGAAACTCAGGCCATATGTCTTCAGATTTTATTGTCACTTAACTAAGGAGTAATGAACGCTGGCACGCTATTTCAGGATTAAAACACTGAATACCCAAATAATAGAGACATTGTTTTATCAAGCTCTTCAATATCTGCCAGCATCATTACACTCCAACTCATGTAATGTAGCAGAATCACAAGTGAGTCTCCACGTTGATTTTGAAAGACACTTGAACATCGATGAGATCGAAGGGTTATTTTGTCTAAAATAGCATATTCTTTCAGTACAGCAGATCTCTCTCTCTCCACCATGATTTGCCTGAATCTCTGAGAATCACAATACTGCTCCTTTTCCTTCTAAGATACAATTTCAATTCTCTTCAAGCCAAATATATAAAAAGTTATTAAAATAAAGTATCATACATATACACACATATAGTGTTTCAGGAGTCCTAGGATTTGTCTATACTGTAATAAAGTAAAGAAAAGGTGCATAGTTTATTTTGGTGATGCCTGTGAAGCTACTTTATTACAACATGTATTTAAGTTTCAGAATGTGACTTGTTTAATTTTGTATTTTGAATGAGGTTCCTTTCCACTGAAACAAAATAACTTCTACTACACATCCAGGAAATAGGTAACCAAAAAACCCAAACTCTGTATTTCATTTAGTTATTCTACCTAATAATACTCTGAGCAAATTTTGAAATTTGATTTGTACTGTACGCAGCCGTGTATGTGCAATACACAGCACCAAAGAACAACCCATTTGTCCTACTTTATTTTCAAGAACTGGCTGATTACAAGTAGCTTGAACTTAACATGTGCAGCAGCCAGGAAAGGAGGTATTTTTCTTTGCTTCTCAGATAATCAGCTTGTGGAATAAAAAGGTACGTGAGAAGAGAGCAGGTCTTGTTCCTCTGTGTGTTGGGAATCAATTCATAAAAGCATTTTAAATTCTAAAGTTATTTTCAAATAGCTCTTGAAATCTAATGTCCTCTGTTGAACTTTTGGGTGTGAGGATGGAGAAACAATAACGAGTTACATTTTAGTGTGATTTAGATACTACGGAGATTACAAATGTAACACATGGATGGGAAGCTCTGTAATTATGAAAGAAGTCTAAGTAGGTTTATGAGTACATTCGAGATGGAAGGAAAAAACCACCAAACAGAGCACTGGGAAAGACTGTAGAGTATGAGATAAGGGAAAACTGAGGATCAGAAAGAGCTGGCAGGTCTTAAAATAAACTGGGATCCACTCAAAGGTGCTCTGTAGCACTCCTGTCATCATCTGTAACATCAAAGAAATTCTAAAAGCCATGTACAGTGTGTTCTAAGGTTGTGTTGTCCTTCAGAACCATGGGATTAAAGATGCAGGGAGAGGAACAGCCTTCTGGCCAAGGTTTATCTGCTATATGATGTACATCCACATTACAAAAGCACACACACGAAAGTATTCAAAAGAAAAAAAAACCACCAGCATCACACTCATCAGTCATTCCTTATTAATTGTGATTCCACCTGAAATAATTCATTAACTTCAAACCATTTATCTACACACAGCAGCTGTAATCACAATGTGCTACCTACAAAATTACATGAAAGCCCATAAAAATACTTACTTGCCCCAGTTACTAAAGTCCTAATTTTGAGGAAGTTCCAGGAGAATTACGGGAGAGTAAAAAAAACTACTTTTAAGAGTACATGTAGTAGTTTCTATACTGGAAAATGGAAAATCAGTGCAGCTTTTGTACAGAAAGGTTACGTCTCGAAAATCTCCTGGAGTTCTTTGAAGGAATCGGCAAGTAGATGCACGAGAAATCAGACTGATACAGTGTACCTGGACTTCGAATGGGCACTCAGTGTTCCTTATGCGAGAGGAAGAATTACATTGCTACAGGACCAGAGGAAATGCCCTCAGATGAGCTATCAAGTTAAAAGCAGGAAACAAACAAATGAATTTCACAGAAAGCTGTGCCAGCACATGTGGTGTCTAACACCAGAAACAATCTGGAAAAGGGTGAACAGTAAACTGTCAAAATTTGCGAGATGGTAACAAATTATTCAGAATACCCAAGAAAGGCTGACAGAAGAATTTCTCAAGGGCCTCACAACAGCGAGTAACTTGACAATAAATGACAGGAGAAGATCAACATAAACAAATGCAAAAGTGATGCAGAGAGGAAATATAAGATACTGTGAGTTGACTATTAACATTCAGAAACAGAATGATATGGTTATGGCTTTACAGCTGATTAAACATTACCCACCTTCTCTGCACCAAACGCTGGTCAAAAAGCAAGTCAAAGTTAGGACTTACATGAAAAAAAGTCAGAAATGATCTAGTGATGCTAGAAGCGCTCCCATCTTGAGTAGGGTATGCAGGGTGGTGGAGAGACTGCAAAGACAGTCAAACTACTAATGGGAGGGTATTCTGGGGAAGTCTCAGTGTTTTCTGCCCTGCCTTTTACTCTAAACATCCATGATTGATTAGCGTTGGAAACTTGTCTGACTCAGTACATCTGGCTGTAAATTATATTCTTACATATATTTGATATTAACAACACTGCCCAATCATGTATGTGGGTGATCATATATATGCAGCAGAATGGCATCTTCCTAATGTTTAATTATAATAATTCATATTTCGTAATAAATATTTAATAAGGTGACACCTGGCAAATACTAATGCTTTATTTACCTAAGAGAAAACCAAGCAGAGGGCAAGCAATCTTTTCCTAAAGTAAAGCCACCCCAATTCCCCTCCACTCCACATCCCCCTCAACACTCAGCTTCACCACGGGATATTCAGAATTTCTGACTCTCGTGCATTGTGATTTGGAAAAAGTCACAACACTATCTCAGGTAAACACTGTGATATAGACTATGTCCTATCTCCTAGTTCAAGGGGTATTCCAGAACATCTGCAATGGACTTGGCGTGTTCCTCCTTCACTTCTGATACCAGTGTACCGATGATGTATTTTTCTTCTTAACTGCCCTGTCTCAGCCACTTTATCTGGTTGACATACAAATTTTCTTTCTTATGATACAGTATCAGCAAAAGGGTGTTGGGAAGGAGAACAAAAACCATAAAACCCATGTGAGTTAGCACATGAGTTGTAATACAGAAACCATATGTAAAGGCAAGCCTCAAGTTATCGTTCTGGCTTATGCAGGATCACCTAGGCCAGGAAAACCCTGAACACAATCTAGCTGGAAGATGGCAGGACACCAGAAAGAAGTGTGCCTCCCATCCCTTTATATTTTTAATTCAAACACTCATTCTTTATCATTGTCAAGGATAGGATACTGGGCTGGATGAAGCATTTAACTGATCCATTACAACTACTCTTATAGTACACTAAAAAAGTAAAATTGCACAAAAAATAAAAGACCTGAGTAATTTATTTTCCTATAGAAAATAGAAACAGAAAATTAATCTAAAACTGTTTGTTGATAGTTAGACATTCTAAATACTAGTTTTGTTATAACGTTCAAAATCCAACTCTTCTGAACCAATAACTACAGAAATTGAACATCAATGAAACCAATTTCTGAATACAGAATTCATAAATTCACATTATCTCAGAGAACAACATGTCTAAATTATTTACCTCCTTCTGGTCAAGCTGCAGGGAAGATTTTATCAAATCACGAAGAGCAGTAAGTTGTTTCTTTTCTTCATCTTGTGTCTGTTTTATCTATGGAAAGAGATTGCCATGATACGCTTTCAGGCTGAAACTTTAATTTTGATTTTTTTCACATTTCAATATACCATTTTAGATGTCCTGAGCAACCAGCTCTACTATTCTATGTTTCTGTAATATTTGAGTTTATTGCCATGGACTAGTCTGTTCCTATATATTCACCTTCTACGCATGTATTGCTTGAAAAGCAAGCTAAAATGAGCATACAATTCTGCATGCTCTGTTCTGCTTTAATGGTTCACTACATCTAATGCAACTAAATTTGTCTCTGAAATATTAAATAACTCCAACAAGCTCAACAGATGACTTAAGGAATGAAAGTAGAATTTAATTTAGCCACAAACCGCAATAGCAAATGGGATTATTGTAATTCTTATTATAGAATACAAAAGTACTTGGGTGACAAGTGAGTTTTGATTCCACATTATTACTTGCCTTCCATGAACATCATAAGTTAATTCATTTAAAAACTGCGGTGCTATCATCAAGCAGTTTGTTATGGAAAAATGAAAGTGGTAACTAAAATTAGTGCTAATAACACAATCTGATACAAAGGTTCCTATTTTAAATTAGTTTTATTTTAATGAAACGTTAAATTAGTAGTAGAATGAAAGCTGCTTTTCCTAATAACTGTAGAAACAGAATACAAAGTTTAAGATAGTCAATATGTTTTTTCCTCAGTCTAGCTATGTTCTAAGTTTCAAAGAATACGCTTTCCATTTATAAGATACAAAAGAAACCTACACCTTTGCAGTCGTATCTAAAATGTATTCATGTAAACAAAATATTTCCGTTATACTTACATTATATAAGTCAGCAGCCAACTTTTCAATATATTGTTTAAGTTTATCAGCTGTTTTCAAGCCATCTTGGAAGAAACTATAATGAAAAATATCTGTGATTTATCAAGAATACATATAATTCATAACAAAAAGTAGACTGTCTTGCAGAGAAAAACAGCAAAACCCATAAAACTTATCCAGCTCCTCCCATGTTCAGAACAACAAAACCTCTGTCCAGCATGAGCTGTTTTACTATCGCTCTGACCACGCAATAGCACAGCTTTCACATTCCTCTAATGTAAGGTACTTCAGAAAGGTGTGACAGTTGCATTCCAGTCCAGAAACATATGATTTACTTTGCGGATTTAGTCTCACTGTATAAAAATATGAGCCAACAAGCACTTCACGTGAGAGTATGAAGTGACATCATATGAAGGGTTAAGTTATCCGTAAACAAAGAGTTTAACTTCTATTCTCAGGTATTTATTCTAATTTAGAAATCCAAAGGAAATCAATCAATATTCAGCACTATCAAGCTTTTTTTTTTGGTTGGGTTTTTGGGGGAGGGGATTGGCTTTTTTGGTTGGTTGTTTAAAACCCTTCCCAGTAGTTTTAAATTATACCTTTTGGCAGCAGAGATATACCTTTGCGACTTTAACAAGTATCAAATTAGAGAGAATACAGCTTAGTTTATTTTTATCACTGATAGTCAATGTATTTCTCCTTAATAAACTTCTAAAATCTCTTTTTTGTATTTAACTTAAATGAAAGTTCCTGTATGTTTGCCTCTGTGATTCTACTGGTGACAAGGCCGTATCTTACCAATTTCACCTCAAGGAATTTCAAAGAAATTACTGGCTTTTACAACAATTTTAAAATCTACATTTAAAAACCTACGAAATAGAATAAACAAGCTATTTCCAAAATGACATTCTAGATCTATGCCTCAGAAACTAAAATCAATTTTGTATGCAACATGTAGGGGGTTTTCCCTTGGCTTCTTTCTCCATCTTCCGTCCCATTCGCTCACTTTCATACTCCCCACTGAAAGACTACAGCCTAGTAAAATGAAGTTGTAATCTGCCAGGTGTCTGCAATTATAAAAAAATTCCTGATTTAACCAAAACAAATTCAAAACAAAAGGAAACAAACACTGGTGTAAAAAAAAAAAAAAAAAAGTAATTAAAGCAAAAAAGCATGGCACTTACTTGCATTGTGCATGGTAATACTTAATAAGGTTCTGCAGAAGGTCCACACCTTTTTTGGTCTTGATTTCATTAACCTTAATAAGATACTGCATAGACAGTGAAAAACACATTGATAATCATGCCTCACAACCTTCAACAGTTTTCAATCAATAAAACATTATTTGCTCAACGAATTATCTCTGTGTTTAACCCGGGTGCGGACTCAAACACCACCAGTCCACCACAGTTAAGCAAAATATAAAACAGGTAACAGTTTATTTGGCCATTCCTAAAAAATTCAAACACCCCAAAACATAAAGCAAATTCAGGAAAAGTTTCATCCTTTACAATTGTCTGAAGATGTCCCTTTTTTAATGCTACTGAAATAATTACTGAAATACTCTAAATATATAAATACTATGCAATTTGAAATAATCATCACTAAAATGTAATGAAGAGAACTATTAATATAAAAGAGTTTTATGGAACTAACATATCACTGTCATTTATCACTTCCTTAGAAATTTTGGAAGGCTTCAGAAAGTATGTTGGAAGAAAAATATCAAAAAAAAAAAAAAATATTTCCATAGTGTATTTTCAGCCCAAGAACCTTAGCCTAATATTCATAGAACCATAGAATGTTTTGGGTTGGAAGGGACCCCTAGAGGTCATCTAGTCCAACCCCCTTCAGTGAGCAGGGACACTGCTAACTAGATCAGGTTGCTCAGAGCCCCGTCCAACCTGGCCTTGAATGTTTCCAGGGATGGGGCCTCCACCACCTCTCTGGGCAACCTGTTCCAGTGTTTCACCACCCTCATTGTAAAGAATTTCTTCCTTATATCCAGTCTAAACCTACCCTGCTTCAGTTTAAAACCATTTCTAAAAACAAAGAAAAGGACTAAAACAAAAGTAAGCCAAGTTTTGTACAGAGTTGCTAAAGTAATTACTTCTATATTGCTGTACTATGTGACATTGAAATGATTTCCTCCCTCCACCCCCATTAAGCGGTGAAGTAGATTTCACCACCTTTAAGTAAGGCCCACAAGGTACTTTTAAGTTATGGTGTCATAATTAAAAGCTGAAACTTGTTTCTTACTTCACACATCTGTAGCTGAAATAGCCGCCTTTCCTTCTCCATTTCCTCTGCTATCTCAGCTCCTGTTATTTCAGTTCTTATCATCCCATGCTGTTTTGCGTGTTCTCTTTTTTCCTTTTCAATTTTTGTACTGAAATTTTAATAGAAAACATTTTAGAGAATTTCTTCTACTATCACGTGATCTAGTATTATTTAGGGAAAAAAAGAAGAAATATTAGAGAAGCCATTCTGAAGATGAGTTCCTCTATCATAAGAAATCATATATATTTTAAGTGTCTAGAAGTAATGACGTCATGAAGCTGCCTTCCTTCCTTTCATCCTTTAACTCTTTTCTCTAGTTTGTGTGACACTTGCAGGGGCAGGGATCTCATTCTTTCTATATGATGTGCTCCATAGCCTTCATCTATATATACTTCAGTGTAATACAAGAAACCACTGAATTAGCAGGAAAACGGCAGAATAACTTAATCAAGTATGCTTCATGCTCCTAAGGCAGGAATTAAGAAAACCAGTAAGGCAGCATATGAAATTTACCACCTACACTAAATGACACTACTTCCAGTCACTACATTTTCAGAGAAAGCCAACACTGAAATTCTGAAATAATGAAATACAAATATGGAACTAAGAGGCCATCCTGAGACTTTAATTAGAGCTTTACAGTGTGGCTGTCCTTACACATCTACTCTGCAGACTAACTGGATACTCCACTTCTAAGCAAACTTAGATTTCCAATACAGAGTAGAAAAATCTAAACATTTATTTATTTTATTATTATTAATTCCTTTTTGTAAAAAAAATAAATCTTTCTTCTCTATCAGCCTTTTTGAGAAAAATAAACATGGAAACAGTACTTTTGTAAAACAGGTAACAAAGCACTGTGTGTTTATTAGGTGCTCCTTGCCAGGGGGAAAAAAAAAAAATAAATTAAACGGATTCATATATTTGTTTTTGAATTCTGCTTTTCTCCAGCTAAGAAAGGCATAATGTATGCACGCAGATCAAAGCACTTCTCAACACTGCGCCTCTAAACTTGACTTGATATTTGGTCTTGAATAAATTCTAGGAGATGGGGCACTCTGAAAAATCTAAGGGAAATCTCCTTCTTGGTCTTATTAAGTCCAAGTGAAATTTGCTCAGAAGTAACAATACAACAGCACCTTTCTGCAAACTTTCCAAATTCAGAACAGAATCCCACAGATGGTTTCATGTATTGAGTCTGTATGAGATACCTCCATCTAAGTTCTGTTCAATGGCATTGGGTATAAGTAGGCTGGTAAAGACACCCCTGATTTCACAAACAGCAATTTCAGAAGCAGAAAGAATTTTTTTTAAAACCATTTTGCTGTCTATAGAAGACTATTCAATTTTTTTTTTCAAAATATGCAATATCTGTAAGCACTAAATAACTAAAAAGGAACTAAAAACCAATTCTGTATGTAAAACTGAATGCTCAACTGACTATGATGTCGCGATTTTGGGACAGGAATCTCCTTCTGTCTTAGATTAGTAATAAACTCACTTCCAGTTCAGTTGTTCACAAGGATTTAACATTGTAATGAATTTTCAAGACAAAAATTACTATAGAATCAATATCGTTTAGGTTGGAAAAGACTATATGTAGGTAAGAAAATTATGCTGGTAATAAATGTTTCAGCATTTCTTAGTGGCCTTTTTTGTTCATTGCTTTTTTTCCCTCCTGGTTTAACATAAATGAAACAATGCTAAGAACAGGATTAAAAAGGGGAATAAATAAAGGGATACAAAAAATGAACTAACACCTGAGAGCTCTTGCATTCTGATAAAGCAACTGCCCATCACTTCCTTGAGAGCATTCTGAACAATTCCACCAGCATTTCTGCAACTATGATACTACTTGTTTCCAACCTGCCATTTTTATAAATCGTTCTTTGCCCACAGAAGACCGGTTATTACAGCAAGAAAATATTTTTAAAGCCATAGATATTTTAGGATTCACACCATCTACATGAAAAGTCTTGCCTCTTAAAAACATATAGTTACACAATACAGGACAACATATAAATCTCAATTTTTACTACTGATGGATTTTAGGTATATGGTTATAAGAATGTGTAAATGCCATCTGAAATCTCCACAATTCACTTTACAATGTTCAGTATCTAAGCATTAAGCACCTTCCTAACACTAAAAAAACCATTGGACAGTCATGAACAGTAAGAAGTGTTTTATTTCTATTAGAAGAGAGGACCACAGAAGAGATGCCTTCCTGATATTCAGATTTACATCCACAGATGCATTACATAGTTTAGGACAGGAAGAGTAAAGAAAAAAAGAGGGAGAAAAATACTTACAATTTGGTTTCATAATCCTTCCAGGCTTTGTCAAAAGGCTTTTTGAGGTCCTTAGGAAACATAACATTTGCTTAGAACATTTTTAAAACTGTCTTTCTACTTATCAAGTTATAAATAGCAATAAATAGCAACAAAAAATACTGTTCCCTTTTAAAATTTTCAGACAGCAGTTGGAAAAAATATTATTTTTGAATATTGCAAAGTATTACTTTCCTGTGCACCTTAAGACAGGAATTTACAATGAAATTCTAAAGAAGCATGACAGTCATGCCATTTTTTTATTTGTTTTTTGGACTACATTCAGATTATAAATGGATGCTGACATAAGAAATAATCTCATGGGTGACTGGAAAACAGTCACAAGACAGCTGAACCTGAAAACATTTCCCCAAATAAAAAGTTCGTTTTCAACACTTACCCCTTTAACACCTTTTAAGTCTCCTTTTAAGAGAGAATCCAAAGTGAAAATAACATTGTGGCTTAAACCCTGGAGCTAAAACAAAAAACATTACACTGTTATCATTGAAGAATATTATTTTTGATTACAGAATCATAGAATCATTTAGGCTGGAAAAGACCTTCAAGAGCATCAAGTCCAACAGTTAACCTAACCCTGCCATCCCACCACTAAACCATGTCCCTAAGCACCTTGTCCACACGTCTTTTAAATACCTCCAGGGATGGGGACTCGACCACTTCTCTGGGCAGCCCGTTCCAATGCTTGACAGCCCTTTCGGTGAGGAAATTTTTCCTAATATCCAATCAAACTTGACAACTGCTTAAACTCTTGAGAGTTTAAATTCCACCCCATTAAGTCCATGCCTGTTTGATTATATATCTGTGGAAATGTTCTGTTTGTCTTTGCCAGTCTGAGGGCAGAAAAACCTACTGCTGTGATCCTATGTGTATGGTGCGTATGGTTTCTGAAGAGCCATGTTCACAGTAAAGAGATGTATACCAATATCACCCCAGTCTAGTGAAAAGTCTGTTGCTTCTCCTACTCCCTTTTTATCTCCACCAATGAATTCTTCAGTTGTCTCCATAAATTCTTCAGCTCCTTGGTAAGGAAGGATAGGGAGAACAATGGGAAGACTGCAAGACAGCACATCCCCCGCTTGCAAACCAAAGGCATAAGGAAGTGTTACATTAGTGGTTTTAATTTGCCATACATATGGCCCAGCTCCCCTCTCCTATAAGGTCTTCTAGGCATATTTCAGTCTATGAAACTAATCTTTAAGGGACTTTTGTGAAATAGACGATTCACACAGATGAAAATATCAAAATGATCAAACAGGCTTTCCAGGTATAGCATTCCATTCACAAACTCCTTATATATTCAAAACACATGTATGAAAAATTAAATATTTGATTTTAATTTTCAAAAGTGACATCATGCAATTTTAAATATATGCCTACAAAAGAAAATTTCAAGGAAAACTCCCTCTTGTATCATGGTTTACTTCTTTTACAGGTGTAAACTAAAGTTGTGATGAAATAAGGCATGACCTGTGTGCATTCACTGTTGTTTTAAGAGCAGGACCTCTTATCAATTTACAAGCAACTTCTTGTAAACAATGACATGGCACAAGAACTACATCCATTATGTCTAAAATAGCATATTTTCCTTCATTAGATTCACTACCAGTCCTGAACTGAAAAGTAAAAAAAAAAAAAAAAAAAAAAAAAAAATCCCGATTTGCTTCATTCTCCAAATATCCTGGGCAGAAAAGATTTCTGTGAGATCCCCTATGGATTACCGCCAAAACGGGCCGTCAGAGCTCGAGCACAGTTCAGGCATCCCTTGTTCTAATGAAGATCCAAAGCAATCCTACAAAGCATGGTTCTCAAACCCGATACACGTTATCCTCTGGAAAGCACGGGGGTTTCAGTATGACAGATCTTTTAAACACAGGTCATTATACAACTGCTTAATTATCACCAGATAGCTTGTCAGCCACCCCTCAAAGCTTTGCTGCTCTTAGACACCTTGCAGATATCAGAACTAATAATTATTCTTAGCATGAGATGGATTCAAATTCAAAAAACATGACATACACACTTGTATCTTCATGTTCAAGGTATCTTGACAACTGCTTCATATGTCAATATTCTGTATTTTTTAAATTTACAAGATCTTATTTTCAAAATGTATTCAGGGCAAGATGAAGGACAGTCACTAGAACACCTTGAGCTGCAGCCTCAAACAATACCATGAACACAGAGCAAAGGTTCTTCTTCATGGCTTAAAAGATCAAGATTTGAGAAGGGATTTTCTCCTTAATTGCAATGACATAATGAGTGCTCAAATACTACTCTTGTACGAAACAAAAAAGCAACCTCATCACTTTCAGTGATTAAAACTCCAAAAGACTTTTTTCTTTACCTGGCTTAGACTACCTGCTATAAAATTCTTTAGTTGAGCTTTGATTCTATTTAACAAGCTAGGTTCTGGTTTTCCTTCTTCTTCGCTTAAGCATTTGCACATGCCCCCCTCACTAGTATTTCATAACAGAAATAAAAGAGGCAGGGAATTTGTAGAGGATTATGCCTTTTTGCAATTTGTCCTCTGTTGGCTTTTTATGTCAATACACCGCAGCAAACAACTCCCCGGCAATGTCAGTTTTGTTGGAGAAGGAAAAGAATTATGAATATTAAGCCAACAAGTGATTAATAATACCTACTTTATCAATGCACAGATTAAACAAAAGGTGTTATTGTTTTCATTCTCAACTATTTCAACCAGTTGCCACTTAACAACCTTAACCGAAGTTCATATCTCAAATGTGAATTCTGAGAAAGAATATTCAGAAGGTTTTAATCCCAGCCCAGGTCATAAAAACAGAGAGAACACATATTTCTGCGATATGGGTGGATATGGCAGGCTTAAAGCAGTTCTCAGGGCAGGCATGAACAACAGTATATTACTGTGGCTTTTTTTCAGTTTTCCAAGTGTATCAGTTAAGGATAATCAATTCAAGCCATTAATACTTGGCTTGAAATTGCTGAACAGTGGCCAGCTACTATGTCAGCTAGGAAAAGAAAAAAAAACAACTAAAGAGCAGTGTATTACTCCAATATGGTAAGATTTTTGGAATCATTTATTCCATAGTTGAAGACTTGATAAACAGTAGCCCAAATGAATTGGAAACATATCTGATAACAAAGCAAAACAGTCTCATATCTAGAGCAAAATAAAGGAAAAAAGCCTTAACAGATGGAAATACATACAATAACTTGGGGAGGAGGGATGCGAACAGAAGATAATTTGCCTGCAAAGATTAGCTGAGGACATTTACAGGAAAGGGAGGTGGAAAAAAAACAGGCTTTAAATGTTTGGAAAAAGCCAAGCATCATGCAAAATTAACAAAAAAGAAGTAATCAGCAAGTGCTCCAAATGTTCCTCCAAAACTCGTCTAGATCAATTTAAAGATATTGGCATACCGAGTTTCACATATGCAGATCTTCATACAGCTTTTTAATGCAATATTATAATGAATTACTGCATGAAGAATGAAACCTGGAATAGGAAAGGAGGTAGTAGTAGTAAAGAGCAGAGAAACCAATTCTAGTGGGACACTCAGATTGCTGAAAACCTAGACCAGTGTTGATTGTGGCCAGTCACAATGTAATTACCATTACAGAATGTTACAGAAGCAGTCATTGTGTGTCATTCTCATAACATCTTCAAAAATATGTCATGTTATATTTCTGAGTGTTTGGGGTTTTTTTAAGTTTCAGATGTTATATTTATTGATACCATCAACAGTTTATAGTAAAATTTGCACAGCAATTTTTTTTTATTAAAATGATTAATGGACATGTTTTTATTCTTGACCTTGTGTGCAGAATAATCATTCAAAATGACAGTTCCCAAGAGTTGAATGTGAAAGACAAGTTGCTGGCTTTACTTCGTAGTAAGTAATCATAGCAATTAAGTGAAGATCACTCTCGAAATGATCACACTGTAATTCCTTCACACAGAAGAAATTATTTTGTACCCTCCTTCTCATGAAATATACATAAAATCACAATTCATAGGAAAATGTTTAATGAATCACAAAGTTCAAAAGATTTAACAAAAATGGATCCAAATTTTTGAAGGTTTTTCTTTGTTGCCTACTGTGTAGCTCTATTCCTTAGCCCTCTTCCTGTCTTTGAAGAACATTCATTATTTTATTGTGCATTTATTTAATAAGGCAGCAACAATCTGCACTATGTAAAAAAAAAAAGCCTATTAGTTTGCATTTCGTCTTAATACCTACTGTCATTTTTTTCACTTCATTTTATTAACATAAGCCTCAGCACCTACTGTGGGGCTTTATCAGTGACAGTATACAGTCCTCCTCTCAACTGCTTTTCCACTGGACTTCAACTTCTATTTTGGTATTATAAAAATCTTATTCTTTCAGTGTAATTGTATTAATCAGAACAACGCTTAAGAACAACAGTGGGCCAACAAAACAGAATTATCTGTCTATCATCTAGTAGGTGATGAAGAAGAGGCAAGACTCAGAAGGCAGAAATAAGCACAAGCATGAGAGGTCAGAAGTGACACTTCATTCTGAGTGTTGTTAGGGCCTGTGCAGTCAGAGATGTTTATAAGTGAATCTCAGAGGAGTGCAGAGGGCCAGGTGAGAATGTCTGCCAATATTAAGTTCTTCTGGGTAGTCAAGCAAAAGCCAGGTATGAAGAGCTGCATAAGATTCTTGTAACACCACTGAGAGAATAAAATTAAAGATTGAAGTCTACGCTGAAAAATGTACAGTGATGCGTAAGGAGAAAAAAACTGCATACAGAATCATGCTTATGGAATAACAATCAAGAAAAATGTCTCAAGGAAAAAATACCTTGAAGTTACAACATAGAATCTCTTGAAAACATCAAGCTCAATGCTCAGTAATCATAAAGCAATCAGTCTTCAGAAAAGGGAGCAAGAAATGGAACCATCTTCACATTTGTCCCTCCCCATTTCAGAAAAGGGGATGATTGTACTAGAGAAGGTACAGAAAGGACCAACAAGGACAATCCAAGTTATGGAATAACTAAGGCTGAACTAGAACAGTAACAGAGGAAGGGAAAGGAAGAGTGAGAGTTATCTGTAAATTCATGGAAAAAACAGGGAAATACTTACAGTTCTCATGAGATATAAGAATCAGGGAACAATAAGTGAAAGGATCAGGTTCAAAAGAAACAAAATTGACATTTCAGGGAGCAGTTCATTTTAGCACTCTGGAGGAACCCACCATATTCTATGCCAAGCATAGCATACATTCAAGAAATCCTTGGACAAATTCATGGAAGTAATACCTAATAGACTACAAAGCAAAAGACACTGCCGCCAGCTCCATCTCTGAGCTGAAGAGTGTTTTCATGACCACAGTACAGAAGTTATCCCTCTATGTTTGCTCTCTTCCTACAATCTTCCCTAAAGAGTCACTCTTGGACAACAGTTAAAGCCAGGATACTGGCTACACGGACCTTTGATGTGACCTAAAGCAGTTGTGCTCATGCTAGGGACTCTAGGAAAGAAAGCTTGTAATATTGTTTATACTTCACACACCAAAAAGCTTGGAGACAAGTCCAACTATAAGAAAAACACAAAATTGAATCTACCACTTTCTGAATACAACAGCTATCAAACCCACAAAACATGATTTCACTAGAAACGTGGCTTTGTTACGTTCAGTATTCCAAGGTATCAGCTATGACTACATTTTAATATCCAGCTTTCAGAAGTAAAAGGCCTAAGACAAACTTTACATGAGACAAACCTTTAAATCAACTTCATAAGCCTAATATTTAAGCAATGGATGCTTTTCTCTCCACAAGGAGAATGGACTATTAAGCATGCTCCTCAAATCGTTATTTTTCTTCCAGAAAGTGAAAGTTCCTCTTTTTTTGAGGTAAGACAAAAAAACCGTAACAAATGTCATTGGATTTTTAACTGGAAAGACTTCAAGTCAGGAAATGACTTAAAATTAAGGTCCATAAGAACAGATATCTAACACCATCAATCACTTGAGAATGATGCCTCAAGTGATGTCTCAACATTTATATTTTTCTTCTTAGCTGCCAATTAACAACCAAACACAGCGAGTGTGTAATAACACCCTTCGGAGATAATCTCTGCAGAAATTATGGTGTTGGGTTTTGAAAAAACTGAAAGCATCTCTAAAACTATCATCAGTCATCAGGATCATGAAGTTGTTGTATTGTACTTCATTTTGGGAAAAACTAAAGAACTAAGAAAGTTTGAAATGCCTCACCAGGTTCTTCAGCAGCGTTGATAATTCTTTAGTAAGTGTGGAGAATTTTACAAAAGCTGTGCCAAGATCTGGATTATCCCGACTTAAAAAATTACTTCCAAATTTATCTAGTACTTGTGCATAGTTTTCTTCGTTTTGAACATGGTCTGCAAAGAAAAAGTAGAAATCAGAAAGTTTCTTTCTTGTAGACAGTCAATTATTATTCTAAGCTTATGTATAGCAAGATAGTGACAAATCAACAAACAGTACTTTCAAAAAAGCCACAAATTGATGAGCTTACTGAAAGTTACAATAATTTTAATATTACAAAGAATTATTTAGCAACAGACATATATATGCTGGTTTTAAATCAGTGACTTGAATTTGTAATACATCAATGAAAAAAGCTCTATAGTTATTAATAAAATAATAAGATCAATAAAAGATCAATCAAACAGTATAACTACATGTGCTCATTTTGTAAACAACATAGGAACTTACAATTGTCTACTGTAATGCAAACTTTCTTTTTGTTGTAACGTAGGACGCTTATGCAGAAAAAATGAAGTCAATAGTATCGGATGCAAAGGAGACCAGGTCTGAATCTGAGTGCAAGTTTAAAAGGAGAAACATGCCTTACAGACAAAGCTTCCCTTTTCACCTGCTTTGCAAGACTGACTGAGTTACCCCATGGAATGGAAGGTCTATTGGTATATAGCCAAAGACTTATTGCGATACATTTAATAGCAAATTGGACAGGCAGAGAGATCAGAACCAAGAAGATGAGATTGAAGCCAGTGAAAGCAAGGAAAATCCTTTACTTAAGAATGAAGGAAATTCTGAATTAAAACCTGTTGTGTCTGAAATGTTTTTCCTGCTTCTAACAGTTTCCTTTCTGGCATCTGTTTGCATATTTTTTGTTACTTCCATTTTAACATCTTTAAATAGAAAATTTGTCACTATAGCCCTTTGGGACACACTTTATCCCCTCCATCTCTCTTAGAGGAATATTATTGGTATTAATTAAATCAAGATTTCACTTTAATGAGTTTCCTAGTCTTACTATGTTTTTTTCTGTAAGCCACAAACACAAAACCACAGAGCTATTCCCCAGAAGACCTGCAAGTTTTATGTTCTTCAAATTGTCATACTGTCTGAGAGCATTTAAATTACACAGGGAAGGGGGAAAGAAAACTGTGAAGAAGGGGGGTGAGAGTTTCTAACAAGGCTCGTGGATAACATCCCATAATGTATGCATCTACTTTGACATTAACTAAGAGCTGATGAGTTAAACAATAACGTTTCTGAGGTATTACGGGTACTCAGAACAACAGTGCGCTAAAGCTCCAACAAAAAAAAAAAAAAAGTAAAAACCTATCAGAAAATAAACAAACAAAAAAATCACAATGCTTATTTACCAAAACCAAACCCCAAACCCCACACATCAGACAACTTACATGCTAAAATCAGACACTAACACTGAGGTTTTCAAAAGGCCAAATATTTAATCATATGTTAATATGGTTTGTAACTCAAACAGTATGTTTTTAATAAAACTGTTCCAAAAGCATACGGTTTTAATCAAATAGCTTTAGCATTAAAACCAAGGAAACCACTATATAATAATAAAATATGCATTTTGTTTTGATGTAAAAGCTGTTGCATAAATATACACAGAAGACTTTATATAAGAAGGAGCTTTGGCTTATGCAGTCCTGAGCTAATAAAGCTCAAAGGTACCCCACTGTGCTGAAGGCAAAGGAAGGATGATGGAACAAGAAAGAAATCCGCTAGATCATGGAAACCCTGTCCCTGCCTCTGAAGTACTTCTAACCCCACCGTATTTCTTAGCATTTTAATTTTAAACGTGGTGTTGGTTTATAGAGCATTTTTCAAAAGTAATTTTGTAAAGAGACTGAAAAAGAGCTAAAGACGACTGTTTCCTTTATCTGTGGAAAGGCAAAAGAAATTCCCGGTCAGAAAGAGGAAGCAGGAAGCAGATCATTGTCCTAGAACAATATATAGGAAATTCTCAAGAATCCCAGATTGCAAATCGCCTAAATCTGAAGTGAGGTTTTGATTATGAAGTAAAAGCAGTAATTCTGTAATTACCACATATACACACAAAATTTAAGTACTGTGTAAGAATAACACATTTTCCGTTTTTACATAAATATCAACACAAGTCTTGTAAAAGGAGAAGAAATATTTTCTATTGAAGAGGTAAGGTAGTTCCCTACTTGCCCTTAAAGGCACAGAGATGAAAAACTAAGTCTGCAACACATGAAAACCAACATGCTCAGAGCAAAGACCGTGCTTTAATCTCCCTGTAGGTGCCTCATGCAAACACAGAAATGACTTCCTAGTGTCCTAGCAGAATTTCCTTTGCACAAAGAAAGCAATAATGTGCGTGACTTGATGTTTGCTTCTTTAGATACAAACACTGTAGAGGAAGGACTTTAATAACCCTTGAGAGGGAGACACGATCGCTGACAGCAGTACATACAAAGGATAATGTTTGCCTTCTAGAACTGGCTCATGCCTTCTCAGTATCGTAAACAAAGCTCAGTGCTGTGATGAAAATAGAACAGCTTCCCCAGACAGATCCTCCTCCTCCAGCAGCTCCCCGAGAGATGCCAGCATCACGGGCATTAGAGGACGGGCTCTGCTCCCATTGAGGAGGGGAGCTGCCTTCAAAGGGGCTATGGGCAGGGAGAGGGGCCTCACTGACCGTCCCCTCCCCAACAGGAGCTGGCAACACCACCAGTACCTGCGCCCATGTTGAGGACCTCACTACAGAACAGCAGATGTAGGGCAAAGCAACATACTGGACTGCAACACAGCAGTGTTATCTTCTGAGCTGAAAGATGCATCTTTTCACAGTTCACACCTTTAACTGGAGGCAGCTGGACTAGATGGTCATTGTAGATCCCTTTCAACTGAAATATTCTATTCTTACTCTGAAAAACACTCAGCACAGGATCTACTTTTGTTGTTTAGAAAATCCCGGCAGGGCTCGTTGTGCAGCAACGCTGCAGCAACCCTCAATTCTGTGCTATAATGTGTATATCGAAGCCAACCGAGGAAGGAACTGAAGCAGCTGAGGAAGGAACGACAGCCGCGGCAGCTGACAGCCGCCTTCTGCTACACAGCAGTACTTGCCAGAAGCAGGGAGCACTCTTGCTCTGAGCCCTAAGCACTTAAGCTCAGGCTTAAGGACTCCCAGAGACAAATCCCACCTTGTCCTGCTGCCCCAGGCAGTCACCTGAAGTTGTCTATGCCTAAAGCCATGCTGTGCTGAACTTTTCCCAGGACAAAGATAGACTTGGATCAAATTCCCAAGGCATACAAAGAATTCCTCCTCTTTCATTGAAACCCACAACATTCATTAAGTACTATGTTTATTTCCCACTCAAAAGTTACCAAAGTTTTAGCATATGCTTCTGAACCCAGTGAAATTCATGCCTACTTGTGCATATTAAGTAAGAAAACTGAAGAACAAATACTGTGAAGAGAGGTTAAGGAACAGCCTTTATATACTGGAGCTAGAAAACACATCACTAGAATTACAGCCTTAAATTTCCTTTGTCTAAAACAGTTTTGTTCAGATAAATTACCTTGCAAACACTGAAGAACAACAAAAAAAAAGTTAATAGTTTACAGAAGAAAAATGCACAAACACAACCCTTTTCTGTCACTGATTATACTTAAATTACACCGAAAGAAACCTGGAGAATGTCTAAATTACTGAAGATTACCTCTGCATATCTGGTTAAGTTAAAAAAAAAAAAAAAAAAAAATCACGATTCAGAATCCTGATCAACTTGAAACTATTTTTGTGTTGCACTTATAATACAGCTTTGTTCTATGGGTAGCCAGAGGAAAAATAACCAAGCTCAGAGCCAAGCTGCATTTATGAAAGGAAAAACATACACATGAAAAAGGACTCAAAGACTTTAGAAAAATCAAGAAAGCTGCCAAGGTTAAAAAGGATGGCAAAAGAGGCTATTTGAAATAAGAAAGCATCCTTTCTATCCTTCACAAAGCTGAAATCTAATGAAAAAAAAAATAGAAAAGAAAAAAATATTTGACCACCATATTCTTATCTGGACTTGGTAACAACCATGCCTTCTGGACTGAGATTGCTGAAGGGAAAAGTAATAAAATCCTCTTTCAAAGATTTCCAGAGTAAGGAGCACCTCAGTGAGTCTGCAATGTTCTCCAGATCATCGCAGTATAAGAGCACCGAGAGAGAAGCCACCCCAGGAAGGTAAATTACTTCTTTTTGCATTTATGTTCATCACTGACTGCTTGAAGAAGTTCTTACGAAGAATTTTCTTTCAACTCCGCTTCAGAGGATTTATACCAAATGCTAACAGTAGAATTCATAAAAGCTTACAAAATGAGCAATGGCATGTCGCTCAGACCTAGGTACAGAAGAATAAAATAGGCAAACTATATAGCTGTAAAGTAAAGCCTCTTATTTATAACAGCCTCTATACCACAGGAAGAATGAGAAGCAAATATAATAGTTATTTTTAATAAGAGCTCCAGAGAGAACTGAGAATTCAAGTACACACCAGCAGAGCTGTAATGCTGATATATTCCTCAGGTGAAGTTGTAAAAAATACAGTGCAGAACAGAATTGATGGACATGTGGATAAACACAAAATGCTGAACAAGAAACACAGGTTTTATAAAATGGAATTTTTACCTCGCAAAACTTCCCCCCACTCCCCCAGGGGATCAACAAGCACATGGAGAGAGGAAATCCACATTAAATTATCTGTTTGGATTTCTGAAAAGGTCTGTCCCTCACCAAAACACTAAAAGGAACTAAGCAAACAAAGGATAAGAGGGATGAGCCTCACACAGAGGGAAAACGGGTCAAAAAGATGATGTGGGGGAAAGGAAGGAATTGAGAGTTAATTTTCTCAACACAGGGAGGTCATGAGTCAAGTCCTGTAAGGAACAGTAGTAAGGGCCACACTGTTTAACAGCATATAAATGAGCGAGGAAATAAAATTCATAGTGATAAACTCTTGTTGTTCTTTTCCATACAACTCTATAAATTATTCAGGGCAATAGAAACAAAAGCTGACTCCAAAGGTGAGATTAATCTATCCAAACAAAAGGTACCCGGGTTGGAGTTTGGGGTCTACCCTTCCCCTTACATTCCATATAGGAAAAGCTACAGTTCTGCTCATCCTAATCTAACTGCACAGGATGTCAGATGCATCTGATCCCAGAAGTCTCTACACACATCCATTAACTGTGCACAGAGGCTGCGGCAACAGGCTCGCATCCGCGTAGTTCCCAAGTTAGACGAGGAATCCCATGCTAAATGGCCAATGCACGAAAGCGTGCATTAGGTAGTGTAACACACGAGGGAAAACACTACTAACTTTGAGAAGTTATTGTGGAATTAGACATAATAAAGAAAGGTTCTGGAGTTGTATCTCCTCAACATTCAGTACCAAACAAAACAAAGCTGAACATCAGAAACTATTAAGAAACAGAGCATGGAATAGAGCAACATAAAAACATTGCCATAGCATTCTTAAACCTAAATACTGTGTGTGGTTCCTGTCAGAACTGCCCAAAACTCACTCTTCTTCCCTGCAATAAAAAAGAAAGTTTATGCTGCCATTTTAGAGAAAGAGCGTAAGGATGATTAAATGTATGTGAGTTTCTGTTAAAAAAAACCAAAAAAAAACCCAAAAAACCCCAACCAAAACACAACACCGAAAAAACCAAACAAGCCAACCCCAAAAAACCAGCCCCCAAAACTCCCTAGGGCTGCTGCATTCAGAGAAGAGATATTGTGGGTGACTGCAGAAACAACTCAATCCAGAAATCTACTTCCACAGGTAGAATGGACGACGCTGAATCAAGTTTGGATTCATCCACCAAAAAGTCTTCTAACACTACTCTAGCAAGTTTGGGCACTTCAAAGCCCCCTACAAATTCTCATGCCCCAGAACATGCAAAAGGGTCCCTCAATTCCATATCAAATAAGTCCTTCTGGTGGGCTTGAAGCCAATCCTTTGAGACATGGACAGGGCCAGTCTGCCCCTCAGGGGACTTGAGGCCTGAAGAGCATATATGGAACAACTTTGCAAAGGAGCAAGGGTACATTTAACTGGATTGATGCACAACTATGATGATAAAGATTTACATGAATTTAAATTCCTTAGACAAAATGAATTGTAAAATTCCATTAAGAAGTATCAAGCATCACAATACCAGTCTTGGCTCGGGTAATTCCTGGCCTTTGTCAGCTGAGAAAGTGGTAAAAAAATAAATATCACTTCATCTTTGCACTGTTTTTCTACTTCCTCAAGCATCTGCTGTTGATCATTGCGGGAGACCATGTGCACTACTGGTCCGACTCAGTACCTTTGGTCTTGCATGGATTTTATGTTTTTATTTCTCCATTGTCTACATTCTTTTGACTATATTTGGAGTTATACCAGGGGACTAATGAAAAAGAGCTATTGAAAAACCTACAACAAAACTAATTGTGCAATCTACTGCTGTTACAACTCAATCCAAATGTTATGGGAAAGCTAGTCAGAACAGATTCTCCATTAAATTCAAGCACCATTCACATTAAGATGGGTTCCTAGTTACAGATGCAATCATTCACGCCAGAAATAAACAGCAAGACTGATAAGGAGGAAGCAGCGAGAAAGAGGTATCAATTTGTTCATTTCACTGGATTCTATAAACAGTACTTTCCCAAACAGTACTTTCAGATAGGGAAAAATGGATGGGATATTTCTAAGAGATTTCCAAATTTCTGTGCTAGTATGTTTTCACTTCCACAGAAGTAGATCTAAATCTAAATATGACAGACGGGTGAGATGTGTGCACAAAAAGCAGAAAGTATTTGGGTGACAGCTAAGCTCTCTTTGTAACAGAAGGGAGTCCCTTGCGGTTCATGATTCAGGAATGAAGAAGAACAAACCAACACCACCAGAGGGCTAGGTTTTTCTGAAGAATTGTGTATGAGACATTGCATTGTGTGAATGTCACTGTTCAAATGTTACTTCAGGCAAAAACCAAACCAAAACAAGAACCTCAATACAACCCAAAATATTCTAGCTATGACATTTGGTAGAATATGAATTAGATTACTGAACTGAAAAGAATTTCTTTTGCCCCTGAATAACCATTTCCACAAAGGAGATTATGAAGCAGGAGAGTTTTAAAAAACATTTCCTACTCTAGTAGTTTAACCTTCTCACCTTCTAGCAAACAACCAGATTTGTAAAACAAAATTCCAATGTTAGAAGCTTTCTTTTGAAATACAAAAATAGTCACCTAACTCTTGCTGGAACTGCTAAGTGACACTGCATTGCATTCTACAGCTGGTTTTAGTATGTTTTACGTGAAGTTAATCAATGAAATCCAATTTTAGCACTGAAGCATAAGAAAATAGCTGGCTTACCAATTCTCTTTGTACAAGCAGGCAAAATGAGTTTGAGTTTTAATTCAGTCACTTTATTTTTGTATTTATTTTTACAAGGTTTCACATGTATAACACACACTTTTTGTCTTGCTCTTACTAACCCTAGTTTATGTTTATCAATTACTGCATGAATTGCCTCCTGTGCATACCTTGTCAAATTATAATGTGGCCTATCACAACAGCATTCTGAAGAGGGAGCTAGAGTATAATGTATAGCGCCTTCTTTATCCAAAAGAATTCATACTAACTTGCACCTTTGAAACAAGACTTGAAAAACAGCTACCTAACTATCTCTGGTCCTTTTTAAGTGCAGAGGCAGCCAATTAAAACAATTAACCAACCTTCTATTACTTCTACACAGTGCAACTAGGTCATGTAGTATGATCTACAGAATTGAAAACAATATTATGTTTATTACAAGACTCAAATCAAATGATAGCTGAAATCTCTAGTATCAGTTATATAATTCAAGACAGGCAGAACACTTTTTATGTGTACTACAATTTTCATCAGTTTTGAAATTCCACAAGTAGGTACTTTCAAATGGAAAAGCTGCTTGGAACATCTGAGTCCTTTTAAAAGCATAAAACTAAATACACGTGTACCAAATACTATTCTCACTCTGTATCAGGCTTCACAGTCTATTGGGAAAACATTCATCATCAAGTGAAGTTACAGAAAAGCTAATTAAAACATGGTGCTAGTAGAGCAACAATATTAGTCACTGGCAGAAGAGAAAAGTTAAGTATCTACAATATATTAAAAAACCCACACACTTCCATAAACACGAGTTAATGGGACAGCACACCCAGAACAACACAGAAACTAGGACCACTCAGCCATGGCTCTGCATAAGGAAAATATTTGCTAAACTGATTATTATTGCTAGGGAATAGGAACCGGGATTTTCTAAAATCCAGCCTTTACAAGCAGATGGTTATTGGAAGGTGTACAGCTCTGCTACCCTACCTGCCTTTGGCAGAGTTTTTAGACCTTAAGAGAGGTAGAAGCCAGGTATACCTTATAACATTTTTTTAAACCTAATTTGTGTATTGAACTGTGTTTTATCGTCATTTGTTATTGAACTCAAACTGTTCATCAATTCATATTCCAGCCACCTGTCTTCTCAAATTTATGACTGTAACTCCAACAAAATATCAATAGCGTCTTCAAATAAGCAAAATAATGATGAATCTCCACTATTTTATCTAAGAAGTGAGATATGTCATTTCTATAGTACATGTTATGACGGGAGAGACAAGTGTTGAATGAACACATTTATCTGTAGATATTTGTTTTTATTTATTTATTTTTTAAGATTTTTAACAAGTTTTCATTCTTATTGCACTTAAAGTGCACACCATAAATTCAATCTAGGACATTGCCTAGACTGAATAGTTGAAGGTAACTGCTTGAAATGTTATGACAGCAGGAAAATTTACCCATGGGAATTCTCCTGAAGGTCTTTGAGAAGCAGTATGAGGGTAAAAGGACTGGAGAACACATTAATATGATGTAAAATCAGAAGCAAACAAAACTTTTGAATTCAAACACTCGTAAATAGATAAGCAGCCTTTATGGTATACAATTCAACAGGATAAATTGCAAGACAGTTCTCAAACCTGAAATCAAATGCTTATGTTCTCACATAAAACTGAAAACAATGTCTTACCTTGCCCCGAATTATATATTGCTTTCACAGATTTTTTCACCTTCTGTAGTGCAGTTCTGTCTTGATCCAATGCCTACAATAACAACAAATAGACAAATTTTAAATATTTACTTCATTGATCAACAGAATATACTGTAACATTCAAAAAAAAAAAAAAACCCAACACAAAATAAGTAGTTACACAGGCTGGAAAAAACTGCAGATACAGCATATTCAGCCTGCAGGAAGGTCTGAGATCATTCAACCCCTTCAAGATGAATTAAAGAACTGAACACGCTCAGAAGGCAGAGTACAGCAGCAGTTGACAGTGCTAAAAGAAAAACACTATTTTAGTTTTGCAAGGGACAAAATATTTATTTAAACTGTAATATACTTTGAAAAAAATAATAAAAAAAAAATTTTAAAAATAAATAGTAGATGCTTCTACTATAGCCCTATAGTTTCTGCTACAACTAAATTGCTCATTAAATTCTATGGTTTTCCCACAGTACTATCGTCCAACTATAAATACAATTTATCACAGTAACCTCTTGCCCCAAACTGCACAACAGAATTTTATAAATACAGAAGATGAGAAACAGCAAATCAAAAGAAAAAGGACTAAGATCTGGTTTTGTGCAACATAATGTGACTGAAAGGAAATATTTATAATAATAATACTCAAATATGCATTTTCAGGATTCCATCATTCTAAATTTCAAGTTTTCTGCAATAGTTTCAAAATCCAGAAAAAACCAACCCCAACATTATTAAGTGATGCTGAATTTAGGATTATATTTCCAGGTACTTCCTTTTTTAAGCAACGTAACTTCTCCCAACCCACTGACAATCTGATGTAAGAAAGCAAATTAACATGAGAAAGACCTACCAATACAGAAAAAATAAAATCAACGTAAACATTAATCTAGACTTGCTGAATCAAGAACCTTAAAAGCCACATACTGGTACAGTGTGCAGTGATCCAGTTAAACTCATTTAAGCCTGAGTTTTGGATATTCTGCATATTTTTACACGCTGTATCTGGTTCTCTGCTATCCATTGAGAACACACAGAGAAATGTTTAAATAGTTTTCTACATTTTTCCTCCCTCATTTTGATCACGGGCAATTTCCCAACACATAAGTAAAGTCAGATCAATAATCTCAGGTTTTAATGAAGCTGGCAATGTCTGCCATATTATGTTCACATTCAAATCACTGAAGATTAGAGAACTTGTACACAGAATCACTGTCAGGATAGCAGCCCAACTGAGCCTGTTAGCTGTTGTAGACAACAAAGTTCATGTTGCAGACACCCCTGGGTAGCCATATTATCCAAAATGCTTAAAGCTTGGAGCTCCTGTGGGTCTGATATCTGAAGACTTGCAAGACCAAGGCAGAATGGCAGCTACTCCTAACAGGAGGGCGCACCCCATCAGAGAGGGTCATCGCCAGCAACACTGCAAGTGAAAACTTAATAATCAGAGCTTTTGCTGTCGAAGCTGAAATGATGAAAGCATATCATGCCAGGCATTAAGCTCCCAAAAAACCACAGAGGGAGCTCCAGGCCAGCTGGAGCATTAAGCACTGGAGATGGTCATACGTGAGGGTACCACCCCTAGGTAAGTTCAAAACACTGAGTGTTTCAGCTGCAGGCAGGCTTACAGTAGGAACCCAGATAGAGATAAACCAATTAATATATAATAGATCTATTTTGGAGTGACCCAGTTTTAACCAAGCAAAATGTTATAGTTGAACAATACCTGAAAGTCTGTAACAACAGAAAATGTAGTGTTTCTGTACTGAAAACCACCACATTCTCAAATCACAGAACCACTTCTGTGGTAGCTAAAACTAGAAAGTTTAGAACCACAGAATTTATGTAAGTACTTTCTAATACGATTTATCTCTAGTTTTTCATTTGCAGCAGTACAATGAATTGAAACATTCAGAACTGAAAATATTATTTCTTTTACTCCCCAGTAAAATAATGGATTTTACTTGACTCGTCTTGACAGAAAGAGTTAAAATTTTTAAGTTTAATAAAAATATTAAGAACTCTGTGTTCCTTTTCAAGACAGTGCACAGCAGGTGATTCTCCTTGGATTCCTTTGCAAATGCCATCAAAAGCTTTTGCTTCTGCTTGCATGCTATGCAAGACACTTGTTATCACACATTTCTACTGAAGTTCTCTCCATCTTCAGTGACCAGGAAGAAAATAATGATTCAATTGTCCATTGAGAGTTTGAGCGCAGGACAGTATGAGAATTTGAAACCAATATTTTAGAAAAAAGACAACAGTTAATGGTGATGAGATTCAGAGACAAGACGTTGTATTAACTTCTAATATTGAAGCAAACTGGACACTTGGGGGAGAAAAATATAAAAATTCCATGAAAGATGGTACTTGTTCCTAAAGATACCAATCTAGAAGACTAGGACAAATAGACTAGAAAAAATCTTCCAAATTGGATTTGATATAGAATTAAATTTAATCATTAATATGGGTGCAGGAGGGAAGGGAACATTCATTATTTTAAGAGTGCAATCATTGAGCAAAGCAATATACAGAGATGACATCCACTGCCTGAAGGAGCCAGTGATCTAAGTCAGAATGACATCACAGGTCAATTTTGTATTTTTATATTTGCAAATACGATCTTTACATGAACTAGTTGTTCTTAATCCAAAACTCTAAAAATAAAACAAATCCATGCACACTTATAACCATGTAACAGGGAAGAGGGTAAAACGCCTACCACAGTGGGAACCCAGTCCTGTGTAGGATTCTAGGTATACAAAAAATGGTATCTAGGGGTTTTTGGGTGGGTTTGGGTATGGGTTTTTTGGTTGTTTGTTTTATGTAACTGTAGGTAGTTTGTTTTGCAAGCACATTGCATTCCGCTTGAATGTCTTTCGCTAAAAATTTTTAGCTGCACTCTGCTGGAAAGAAGTATGCTGCAATCCATGCTTAATTCAATTATTATTCCAGAGTAATGTTTTAAGCCTGTTAAACTAGAAAGGAACAGCCTCGCTTTTCCCAGTTAGGTGAAAGCATGCTTTTGCAGTGCCCATTAATTTTATTTTCCGGTATTTAGAATACTAAGTAGTTTTACTCCTCATCTTAAAAACCACAAAACTTGATCTTCCAGTAGAAGTGACTTACATTTATACTATTGAAAACTGCAAAGCCTTAGAGAACCAAAGAGTCTCTGTGACAATCTCTAGGTATTCAGATGTGCTCTTTCCTACTTCCCTTCATACTAAACTCTTCCTCATGACCATCCATTCCTGGAAAAAGCTTCTCTCCATTTCTGTGATACCACCTTCCAGGAGGCCTTTTCAACATTCCTGGGAGAACGTTTTCTTACCCTCATATGCATTGTGAAAAGACAGATAATTTACTGAAGGCACCTGCAACACAGATTTGCTATCTCCTTGGGTGAACAAAGCTTTATTCTTGAAAACAGTCATCTTGGAGACAAGCTCCATCTTTATTCAAAATAATGCAAAATTAGTGCTCACAAAACCCCCTCAGACTTATTAGTGAGGAAATGAAGAAGAAAAACAAAAACACCATCACATTTAATCTGCTTATATAAAATTAAACAAGGAAAGCTTCTTGCTCCTCATACTCAGCAGATTTGCTATGCATGATCTCTGACATACGTCCTTGTCAAGGTTTCATATTCCCACATTCCCTTATACTGAAGCTTATGCTCAAGAAGAAAGCCTCCTGGTCATGCAAGATCAGCTCTTCTAACTAATCAGTTTGGAATCCCCCAGACAGTCACCCCCAATTTAATTTCTCCTTTCTGCTAAACCTAGCCTGCAGTTTCAAACCACCAACCTGGTTCAAATCCATACAACCGAAGCAAGCAGCGTCTCTCCTTCCTGACACCAGAGCACTCACGTTGGCTGCACTATGATCCAGCTCAGGAGCTGCTGTGGTGACCTCAGCTCCATGAAAACGAGGGGCTCCTTCTGAGCACTGCGGATTTAGCTGACCTTCCATCAGTGCATAGCACGCTGATAGATAATTTGTACTTACGAGCTACCATTTTGCATTCAGAGGCAAGACTTCTCGCAGCACCCTCCCTCTTAAGATGTGCATTTACTGGTAGCTATTCAAAACAATATAAAAATTGGAAAACTTGTCCACCTGAAGAAACAAAATCAAATTAATTCTGGGGTGGCGGGAAGGCGAGTCCTCCCAATGGATCATTTTCCTGATGCAGATCTCTGGGTAGCTGCACGTACACTGTTGCCAGCACGACACAGCACATGAGTCAGTACCGGGTTGGAAGAGGCGTACGTTGACATCCCATAACCCACGCCACAGTCCTCTCCGCTAGACGAGACCTGGTGTTCACACAGACAGATGCTGCTTTTGCCTCTCTTCAACCCTCTAGAACTTGATCTCTTCTCAGTAAAGGGTATTCTATTTTTGGGCCATGCTCTGTTTTAATAGCTACTAAATTTTAAACCAGAAATTACACCACTGTGCCGCGTGTAAAGTGCTAGATTCTGGATTGCTATCTATCCTTGATGTACTAAAAACTGCCAAACTCACATTCTCATAGACCACTAATTGTTTGTTTAGAACCTTGTGTCTTTTTATTCTGTATAGATAAGTATATATATGTATTAGTATATGCATGCATACACAGAAATATATAGTTATATGCATGTGTGTATGTAAAAGTCATAGAATCATAGAATGTTTTGGGTTGGAAGGGACCCCAAGAGGTCATCTAGTCCAACCCCCCTGCAGTGGGCAGGGACACCGCTAACTAGATCAGGTTGCTCAGAGCCCCGTCCAACCTGGCCTTGAATGTTTCCAGGGATGGGGCCTCCACCACCTCTCTGGGCAACCTGTTCCAGTGTTTCACCACCCTCATTGTAAAGAATTTCTTCCTTAGATCTAGTCTAAAGTCAATATACTGGAGATCATACTTAAAAGAGTATTTGATGTACTTATTCCTAATAACCATGAAAAGCAGGATTTGAGCAACACAAAAATCTTCCTTTCTTGATTGATGTAAAACTACTATTACAGAAACTGATCACAGAAGTGTTTCATATACATATTAAATTTAGTTCTTCAGAAATCAGCATCACCCTAGAGGCACACATTTGCACAGAGGATGCTACGGCCCCTCCCACCCACTAGATCTACTAAGACATCAAACATGTTTTGTGTACCTTGCAAACCTTTACAATTTGAAGAGGAAAAAAACCCCACTGATTTGTGTTTCATCCTTACAATAAAAAGAAAAAAGAGTGGCTCAAGACACTGACAATCACATTGATGTGTCAGCAAACATTATTAATTCCTTCAAGCACATTATTATCCAGAGGAGATGCTTTTTCCAACTGGAACAAACCGCTCATCCTCATATCAGAGGAGGTTTAGAATTTTACTCCATTTGTAGGAGGTTTGCCCTAAAAAATTCCATAACCTACCAGTACCAAAACCCACCCATGAAAATAATATACCAAAACAGAAGTGTTTTAAACAATTACAGTATTTTGCACAAGACAAACCCATGACAGAAGCTTGGAGGCTATTAGAGCATGCACAATCTATGCACTCATGACAAAAAACCCTCTATGTATTTTAAGAAATTATTTTCATATATTAAAAAAACCCAATCCATGTGAAGTATAAAATATCTGAGGTTATACAAACAAATGGGTATAATGAATGCTTGGTAGTCACACGCATGTATTGTCAGGTACAAGATTAATTATTTCACAGAAAATACATGGATGATGGCTTCAAGGCATTAAAAGTAGTAAGTCTTTCACTTATCAATTTACACACTAACCTAACCCTGGCACAGACGTGATTGACAATTACTGTTGTCTGTACTAGAAAATATGCTTACCGTCTGCTCAAGCCCCAGTTACAACATCCCTATAACGAAGGAAAGCAATGGCACCTTACAAAGGTACGACTGTTTGGCACCAGTATCATTTTTTTTCCACAGTAAAATCCAGACTTTATCAGATGGGTAATAAACGTAGGCTAGACAGGTTAATAAGTTATTACATGCCACTGCAACAAGAAAAAAAAACAACCACCAACAAACGTAATTTCCCCAGTGAAATATAACCAAGAGAGAAGAGTCAACTGTCAGTCTCCCGCTCAGAAATGAGCAGACCACCTAACTCAGTTAATTCTGTAAATGGAGAGGTGATTCAAAACACCCTCCCCGTCCTCCCCTCTCTGCTCAGTTTGTGCTGGCCCTGCCAAATGCCAGTTTGAAGTCTCCTTCCAATTGCCGGTCTCAGCCCATATCTACATGACAAAGACAGGGGAGTGGTTAATAATTTCCTAGGGACACTTAAACCCTTCGTGTAAAGATATAGACAGGCACAGTTTGAACCTGACCTGAATTACTTAAAAACCCAAAGAGTCCAAATGAGAAAAAGCAAACCAAAAAAACCCCACATGAACAAGCAGTTATCCCTGTAATAACTGCCATCAACATCATTTAGTACACCATCATTTACCAGCTACTCCTAAAATAAGAGCAATTAAAAGATATTCTTCAAAAAAAAGTTATTTCCCTGAAAATGGGAAACTTCCAAGTGTTTAACCATAAACTAATTGAAAGAGCATCAGTAATCAAATTTAGGATATACTTTTTTTTTTCCCCCCAGAAAATCATTTTTTCAGGTAATGCCAAAGCTTAACAGAGATCCCATCAGCTGAACCTCCCTCACATTTCCTGCTGTAAGTTACATGTCCTAATGCAATTCAACAGTCCCTCTCCAAACTGGTGTATGTCAGGAAAATTATCAGCCCTTCAGTACTGTAAAGGTCACATTAGATGAGCAAGCTCATTTGTGAGGTCTCTAAAGAGTTGCAAAAAAATAATAGTCACCAAATTATTCTTCAAATATTACTCAAATGGCAGCACAGTAGATACTGCTTGTAAAAACGCTTTCTAAAAAGTTCAGTATTGCTAAATTGTAATTTGTTTTGACAACTGATCTTCGGATCTCTCTTTGCAATCACACTCCTACCCAGAAGCCTTTTCTGCAAGAGCATAAATGCAGATCCTAATTGCTATCTATGTATGATTGCTTCTGGATAAAATGATGTTAGCATCACACTTTTCATAACGAGCATGGAGCAGGTATTTGATCCTGTGCATGCTCTGATACACTTGGGAATATTTAACAATGTTTTGGGTGGTTTCTTCCTTTAAGTTCTCAGTTGAGTTACATTAATATTTCTGAGTTTAGCTCATTTTGTGCACAAGGTATATTTAGGGATAACTGAAAAATAAAACAATGAGATTTGTTTCCAGATATGATGATGACACAGATCAGATTCATTTTCTAACTTCTGTTGTGTAGGAGATGCTGAAAAGCCCACAGCTAGTGACACCACTTGAAAACATCCAGTGACAGATACAAAATTTTCCCCACAAGCACAGGCTCTAGCCCAGCTTCCGCTAAGTAGAAACTAATCTTGGTGATAAATATCACAGACACAGAATAGTTTGGATTGGAAGGGACCTTAAATATCATCTAGTCCAAGCACCCTGCATGGGCAGGAACATCTTTCACTAGATCAGATTGCTCAAAGCCCCATCGAACCTGACCTTGAACACTTCCAATGATGGGGCATCCACAGCTTCTTAGTGCCAATATTCTTACCTTTATACTGGCAACGATGTGCCTTGAACTAGTGACGACTGGTTGAACAGCTGTACCATCATCCACTATATCCAAACTCACTTCATTATACCAGTCAGCTTCACTAATTAAAAATCTAAGACAGCAAAACCAGTGAAGACAACTTACCAGTTTTCATGTCACTGCAGCACAATTTTACCTATTTCTTACTCCAGCAGCAGATAAACATATTAGCATTAATGGGGTAAAGTTTGGTTAAAGCTCAGAAACCAGCGAACCCATAGCCAGTCCCACAGCTCCCAAAGATACCATTGTACAAGATTCCCAAGTTGCACATGCAACTTCTGCTAGCGTTAAAGCCACGTAGTGCTAGCAAGGGGTTGCACAGAACACAAGTAGAAGAGTCTTCCTACATTGCAAATGCTTCTGCTTAAAGACAAGTAGTGCTGTTGCGCTCTACTTTTTAGCAAGTCATAGCATGTTATCAATCCTTTTTCCCCCGAGCTGATCCTTCTTGTCCACATTAGCAGTCGGCTAAGTACTGCTTTAAAGGCAAAGGGAACGATCTTAATTTAAGAAAGACAAGCCTATTCTGTACCTGTGCACTTGCAATCCCCTCCTTACACTTTTTTCAAAGTCCAGTGGAAATATAGTACTTTGAGCGCAAGTATTGCCTACTGAATACTACCCAACAAAATCTTTTTTTTTCCAGCATACAAATATACAGTTCCCTAGAAACAGTATATCACAACATTTTTAATTAATTTATTGAAGATACTTGTAATCTGAAAAACCCATTACACTATAAAGCGCTATTTTCATTTAACAAAAACTAACCTAAAAAGCTTGTATGCGAAAGATGTAACTAAATACAATCGAAACAGCCCAAAACAGAACACGAGTCTTTATTTTCTAGTACAATCAAAAAAAAAAAAAAAAAAAAAAAAAAGACAGCAAAGAGTTGAGGTAAGGCATTTCAAAAGGAAGCAAACTGAAGAGACATTAGGAAAAACTTCTTCACCGAAAGGGTTGTCAGGCTCTGGAATGGGCTGCTCAGGGAGGTGGTAGAGTCCCCATCCCTGGAGGTATTTAAAAGAATGATAGATGAGGTGCTTAGGGGCATGGTTTAGTGGTGGGATGGCAGGGTTAGGTTAAAGGTTGGACTCTATGATCTCAAAGGTCTTTTCCAACCAAAGTGATTCTATGATTCTATGGCGTGCAAACAGCATAAACACAAATGCACTACATAGACATGCTAGCAGACATAAATTTATTAGAAAGAAATGTGACAACTTATATCGGGGAAAAAAAGCACAAAAGCCTCTGGAGAATTGCTCCTCCCCCACCACATCTGACTCTAAATGGCACTAACAGGAGAGCCCTTCACTTGCCATACCACAAAATATTTCCCTCCAGTGTTAACTCTCCTCCTTCTGTTGAAACCACAAAACATTTTACAGCATGCTCTGTATTTCGTCTGTTATCCCGGGAACTCCCAGGTACTACCTACTCAGGGAGGCACTAGATCAGGACTCGTGAGTTACAATTATTACCACCTTCTCAGACAGCAAAATTCTTCAAATATTATACACAGCTTCTATGAAAATGATGGAAGCTCGAAAGTGACACTCGGGGATAAATGAAGGACTCCCTCCCTCAGGCATCGCCAGCCTCGCAGCGGTGTTGCAATTACACAGTGTGCTTACCCCTCCTAGCTCTATAAATTGCAATCCGCATTGTTATTTGACAATAGCTGGTATCAGCAAGCAGCAGGCCAAGCTGTTTCAAAATGTTACTACTACTATTACAAATCTTTTCTTCTCTAAAAAATTGCATCATTGGCAGGAGGGAGGGGGCATGGTCCCTTACTTGAGAACAGAAACAACCCAGGCTCCTCCTCCTCCCATCCCCTGAAGAAATAGTTAAATGCATACTTCGATGCATGACTGCAATATTCCATTTCAGAATTATTCAGTTCAGAGATAAAAAGCAGGTATATTAATGCATTAAAATTGGTTTATGTAAAAAAAGTTACAATTGAATTATGTCTGTTTGTTCCAAGCTGGGGATTTCAAGAGTTTCATTAGGTTTAACAAAAAAACCCCACAAAACCAAAAAAACCACAAACACAAACTGAATTCCATTACAACATAGACCTTGAAGACCACGACAGCATTCCAGGGCACTGCTTAGAGCTCAGCTTCACTTTGTTACCGGAGAGCGCTATGATGACAGGCTCGGGAAGACTCAACCTTACCTGATGCTAAACCCATAACTACCACCACTTACTACAAAATTCAGAACTATACTCTGATGACCAGCTAGAAGAGTCTACCTATCTATTCTTTCTTACAGTGTATAATGTAGACTGACACTATAGGATAATAACAGGAGGCAGAATAGCAACAGATCTAGAAACACTCTAGAATATAAGCACACATTTGTTTTGTTTTTAAGGTAAAAGTTATAAATGGAAATGAAGTTTTACAATACAAAACAGGAGTTGTGTTTCTAATCATTATGATTAGATTTTGCCTAGGGATGATTTACAAAATGCACAAGAAGGGTTTTGAGTCTGCCCTTACAAAAGGAAGAAGAAAAATAAAATCACAAGAGCATAATTTAGATGTCAACCATTAGAGTTAATTTTGAATTTCAATGTTATGTTCTTTGACACAAACGTATCCTCTGAGCATATTTAATTTAGTGGGGGAAAGTAGAGAAAAGGAAACACAGTAATTGGAATAGTCAATTCTAATATTTTAATAAAAGCCTCATTTAAACCTCCCTCATTTCATTTGATCAACATGCAAAAATAGTTTTCTAATGTACATTTATGCTTAGATGCACATCTCATCTTCACTGTGGTACAGAACTCTAAAAGCAATATAGGCCAAAAAACCCCCAACCCATAACTATGTGTGTAATACATATTATGTAATGATATATATGCTTTAATTAATGGAATAATTCTATATAAAACTTAAGACCAGAGTGAGATTTGCTTTCTCAATATAGAAGTAAAATACAGTGAAATGAGAACAGCTACCCAACCTTAAACAAAGACCTATAATCTAATTAGATTCTCTAGGGTTTATTTTGAGGATGCTGGCACACATGACCATTGGCAAACTGGTTAAGTTCAGAAAGGAATTTCTGCCTTATGTACAAATGCATAAGCTATAGCAAACAACCAAGGATAAAAGAACAGGATATACTAACAACACTGAAATCCTATAGTGTAAAGGTAACCTTAATTTGCACAAACTGTATGTATGACCTGACAAAGCCGCCGGGACAGCACAGAAGCTACCATTTTCCCTTCCAGAGGAAGGGCACTTTAAACACAGTGATGATTTTAAAGATATTGTTTTAAAACCACAATGAAACTTAAAAGAATTTAGCAGTAATTTCCACTGAGTTAGGAAACAGTATGAGTGCTTTGCAAGCAAACTGCTACTTACTTCATGGCATTTTTTAACATAGTATTGTGTTTGGTAAAAATAGTCCTACACTATTTCTCTTTTAAGACTGTATTAGAGAACAGATGCCCTTAGAGAACATCCTATAAATTTCCTCAACAATATTAAGCTTCAGACATAATTTACAGCCAAAAGCCTGAACGTAACTAAATTACACTAGCAACAACTTTCTTTAAAATATTCACTGTCAGATATAAAAATAGCTGCACTGCATTCCATTTAGAAAATGCAACCGATTTGTCTGATCACAGATCTAACTGAATATGGTTACTATAAATAATGCCACATTTATAACACGAGTATACAGCTGTGCCACTAGCTGAACAAATAACTGTTTTGTTAGGGAGAACACAACTGCCAAAAAAAAAAAATTCCCAATTTTATGACACTTTTCAATTACATTTTTTAATCATTTGGGAGACACTGTGAAGCAGCTCGTACAAATCAGCAAAAAACAGAAGAGTTTTCAGGAAAGGAAGAATCAGGAATAAGCTGGGACAGAGGTGACTGTTTGAGGGACCTGGGCCTTCTGAAGCATTCAAATTCCACAGACAATAAAGCAAAAATTAGTCAAAGGTAACAACTTCCCCATATATGCAGCACCTGAGTAGAAGGTTCCAGTCCAGTGGAGGTAGAAAAGACCATCCACGCACAGTCATCCTTCTCTTCCACAAGCTAGGGCTAAAAGACTTTTGCTAGCACTTGTGCTAGACTCCCAGGCATACAGCCACACTGATTATCAAATAATTGTGCCTCAAACTCTGCTCTATAAAATATTATTTCAGTGCATTTTTGTCAGATAAAACATCGGCTTTCTACATAACTCACATATAGTGTATCATAGACATAAGGGACCTTAAACACAGCAATAAGTATTAACGACTTAGAAATCAATATTCTTGCTCTGCCAACGGAAACAGCAGTTTATTCAGTAACAGCCATATTCTAGCAGCAGCTATTGACTTTTAGTTTATTTTGCTTGGAGAAAAAAAAAAAAAAAAAACCACAAACAAAAAACCAAAACCAACCAACAAACCTTCAGAATGCTCACAGCTTATCATTCCCTTGTGATACTGAATATTGTATGGAAAGTAGGTTTTCAGTCTGTTTACTCTTGTCTCCCCTGCTGGAAGAGGCATTCCTACGTCCGTTCTTCAGATAACTACTGCTTATTTAAGGGGATTTAAAACACACGGGTCCCTGGACCTTGTTTGTCTGCAAGAAGCAGCAAGGAAGGTGAAAGTAGAATCAGCTTCAGTAAATCATTAAATAGCAATTCCCCACAGGATTAGCTAGAATATAAATTAAAGCACTCAGGGCAAAACAAAGTTTGGAAACAACACTTTTGCGCACAAGAAGAATCAGAGAACACTGTTGATAGGGAAAATATTGTTGGGTTTGGGGGTATTTTGTGGGGTATGGGTTCCCCCCCCCCCAACATCAGTCTTATAGCTGAAGACGAGATAATCACTTGCAAAGAGTACAGGTTGGCAATGTTCTTCTCTAATATAAGGAATATAATTTATGATTCAGGATCAAGAAAGGAATTTGGGAGAGCTAATGAAAACCAAGACTGCTACCAAAGAGTAACGAGAGTGCATGGACAAAGCTGATCATTACCATGTAGCTTTTCATTCTTGTATAATATGTAACT